TGCGTGTTGGGTGACATAGCCCCTTTAATCCAATCCCGAATACATCTGTGATCCGGCAGGTCACATCCGCGCCCCTGGGCCAGCCGGACAGGCATTTTAGCCGTAACCTCCATTTGGTAGTTATCATCACCTAGAAGAAAACAGTTCATTTTCCAGTAACCCGAACCTTTAATGTGGTTTTGACTAATATTAAAATCTAAGGAAATGGCTGCATGGTCGGTTTTAATGGCTGGAAGAATATTCGTTACTGAAACCGAATCTTGAAGGTTATTTGAAATCAGCCAGCAGTCTAATAAGCGGCATAAAATCATTGGCGAGTTTTGGCTCCACGTGAAACTGAGTCTATCTTTTTGTCGAGGGTCGAGGGTCGAGGGTTTCATGTCGAGGGCGAGGGTACCATGTCGAGGGTCGAGGGTAACATTTTTTTTTTTCGGAAAAGGTAATAATCGATGCAATCAATGTCATTAAAACAAATAAGAATTTAAAAAACAAATGGCCCGTGAACATCTTCTAGTTGTTGGGTGGGATGAAATAGAGAAAAGCTCCGGGACATCCCAATTTGTTTTCGAAGAATTACATTTATAACACCACGGAAACCCATACCACGAACAGAACACGTTACTTGAAGTGACACTGATTTTTAAAAAAATGTTGTAAACAAAATTTAAAATGTGGTAAGACAAGAATGAGTGCGTTGAATTATGAATTTCTGGTCCAACCAACAAGAATGCAAGGAAAAAACTCTTATTGCGTTGTAAAATGTGTCATAAAATGTGTCATAAACGAACAATGCAATCGTTGGAGTCTATATTTTTGCAGAGTTATTAAAATGCTCGAACTCGCATGGAAATCGCCACCCACTAACGCAGAGGTTTAAAATAGAATAATGCCTGGTAGCGACTTTCGGTGAGGTGAACATCGGCATTTGCCGACACTTTCCCATTAAAATACAATATATCTTTCTAGGCCACAATCGGTCATATTTATTTGTGAACGTGGACGTGGTGGACGTGAATAGGAAAAAAAAAGGCGTACGGTCCATGTCTCCCATTGATCCAATTAATTGTTTTACACTTGACACATTTCTACAAAAGATCTGTTGTTTTGCCAAGTTGGACATGAATAGGAAAAAACGGAGTACTGCGATAATGCCGTTTATCTTGAACCGTGAATACAAGTTTTTTATTCCCGAAAAAAAATCGACTGTGTTGCAAATTCTGTTTAACTGTTTGAAATGTTACGATGTCACACAAGACCATTCCTGAACAATTTTTCGGTCGGTCGGGCAAGAAAAAATGGCATTGGGTTTGTGGAGGGATTTTTGGTTCTGTTTTGAGGATTTTTCCGTGGTATTTCAATTCAAGCTTTCTCTGTGATCTATTTTTCCGTGGTTTCTGATGTAAATTTACTACTTTTAACATCATGCAAGAAACTGGACAGTGTATTCCAAGTCTGTCTTTTGCGGAATTTTTTTTCTTTAAATATTCATATAGTGTACACTCTTTTTTTCTTTTTTTGAAAGTTCGCATAATCGGTCTGCTTCGATCTGATCGCTGTTCGTGAATAAAAGCTCCCCTTTTTGTGCAAAATAGGAAATAATCGCTGAAGCCGTTGTGAAGAAAGTTTGAAATGCACACTAGGGATAAAGATGTGTACAAAATTACCTTATTATAGGAAATTAACGCTCCATGAAATTAACGCGAATCGTTAAAATTCGCGTTAATTTAAGTCGCGTTAATTTTGTTGAGCGTTAATTTCTGCGACGTTAATTAAGTGCAGCGTTAATTTCCGCGCTCTTAATTTCCAGTATTTTTACCCAAATTATGGAACCTGTTCAGACATTCTTGACACCTAAAAAACATTAACTACAAGCTTTCTTTCTGTCCATTTGCCCTTTATTTTTCATCTTTCACAAAAGCTAAGGCGAAGGTTTACAATATTTCGAGTCCATCCTCATCGGTGTCACTGTCAGAAGTGATGTCAATATCTTCTCCTTACAGCAATATCACGAACACGAACAAGGTTTCGCCCACCCAAAATACGCCTGCACTGCAGGCTAGGGCACCCAACCACGGTTACCTCCTAAATGCATTGAAAACACTTTTTCGCTTATCAAGAGTACTTTCAAATCTCTAGAAATGCATTCTAAGCGGCGCTATAAAAGTTGTATCTGTTCGGTCGTCCTAGGGCAACTTGAATCTTTTCGAAATCACTTAGGGCCTCAGTATTATTTTTAGATGTAATTTTACGTTTTACGAAAGTGAGAATTTTTCTGACTCATCTCTCCATCGCATTTTCTAATCCGAAAATTTTAGATTTCCTTTTTCTACGAAAAATAGGCTACGTTGGGGACTGAAATGTGAAAAACTAAACTTTAGAAAATCGTAGGGAATTAATTAGATAAGCTACGAAAACTGTACATGAATGGAACGGCCATCTAGAATATTAAAGCCGTCCTCAAGTGACAGAAAATCGTAGGCAATTTTTGCTTCTCCGAACAGATATTTTACAGAAAACAGTCGTTAGGTGGCCTCGACAAAAAGATAGACTCCCTTTGCATCATAGACCAAATTGGACTCATTCAGTTCTATTATAACTATTTATAATCATAATTTATTGTTTCAGTTCTCAAAGGAAAGAAAGTGGAACAAATATGAGGTTTTTGTGGACTTGTCTTAGAAGGAGACGGCCGGGAGCATTTGACACGTGGTCCTTTTTATTCGGTATAGTGATTTCAAGTCTACCTTTCATGGGCTATTTCTTGTTACGCCCTCATTGTACATGTTCGTCTGTCCCTGTTAACTTGTTTACCAGAAAACAAAGCCGACTGGATTTAGTGGCATCAGTATCGTCTGTCCCTGCTAACTTGTTTACTACAAAACAAAGCCGACTGGATTTAGTGGCATCAGTATCGTCTGTCCCTGCTAACTTGTTTACCAGAAAACAAAGCCGACTGGATTTAGTGGCATCAGTATCAAAAGAGTTATCTTCCTTACCAACATGCCCGTACAATCCAAGCTTCCTGATCCGTAGGACGATCGCAAGGTATTCTGGCTGGTGGCGTATCAACGAATCACTAGTTTTTCCAAGAGACGACACAGACATGTTGACTAGAGGCAGCCCCTGGCATTGGTTCCAGCCCAGTCCCCTTGCGGACAGGAAAAAAGTCAGTGTGGTTGTGAATAAGCTGTTGACTACCTTTCAGTCAAGGTATGAAGTAGATTCTTCATAGATTCTTTATAGCGGAGCTCTCGCGCGCGAAGCGCGCCAGCGGAGCACCATGGGTAAGAAAATTTGGTAAACTATCCATCCGAGAAAATTTGGTTATGACGTAGGGTACGAACGTCCGTCCCTACACCCACTACATGTAAGCCGATGCCAAATGCCAGGTTATTTTGGCGGGAAAGCGTATGGCCACCCGCGTCTTGTGAAGCAGACACAACTAAAGAGTCAATAAAGACGAGAACGGAAAGCGGAAAATGTTTCTGTATCCGTGTTTTTTTTTCAAGTATTAAGCTTAGATTAATTGTCATGTCCACAAATTTGGAATATAGAGAAAGAGAAAGACAGAGAAAAAGAGAAAGTAGGGCAACAGGCCAACGAAGCTCAACTAGAAAAAGAGCTAGAGCGAGAGAGAAAAAACAAAAGGAGACATTTTCTTTTGGAGGAACGATATGAAATTTTGTAGCGGCGGGATGCCAGCGGCCACCAGGGTGAAAATGAGCGACAGTCAAAAAAGAGAGAACAAGAACACGTCCGACATTCCCTCCATTAAAGGACTAACTAGGAAGTTTCTGGAAGTTTCACGTAACAGTCCTGCAAAACAACGGCAAAGAAATGTACAAAAAAAGTGTGCTGCACCTACAAAGTTGCTTTTTTTGCTAATTAGACCTATTGTTATTTTTTTTACCGCTCTCGTTGCCTTTGCCGCTTAGCATTACACGATTTTATATTTTGTTTGAGCAAACTATATCGAGAGCTTCGCTTTTAGCCCTGGCTAAATCTATATATTTCCCATGCACGATGAGAGGGCAGCAATCAGCTGAGCAATATGTGTCCCTGTTTTTTCTTAAGTTTCCGCTTTAAGATCCGTAAAAATCCATTTAACAAAACGCGAAACAGATCACCACAGTTATTTTTCCAACAACCACTGCACTTTTCCATGCCACTTTAATCGTCAGGGAACCATTATGTGAAGCAGTTATTCATCAGCAATACGCGCGAACTTAACATCCTGTGCAATTTTACATTCTTTACTCAAATGGGAAATAAAAATAATCCTGAACAGTCCCCTTGACAGTTTTAAGGAAGCTCGGACCGGCGTCATGTAGAATAGAAAGCGGCACTGACTGCCGCTGTCACTACTGTTGTCATTCACCAAAGCAATAGAGATCTTAAGATTTTAAGAGGACGAGGCCGACTACTAGGACGAGCCGGATTTTCTAGTCCCTGTTCGACTTGTTCTACACTCTTATTAGTGCGCGCGAGTGAGCCCATGTCATACGAAATGGCCGTCGTAAATCTAACAACGACCAGTTTTAGCGAGTGCCGAGGTAACGAAAACGAATTATATCATTATCATCGAACCTAAGAAAACTCAACCCGTTCAACAAAAATAACCGTGCTGACCGTTCTGGTGAAAAAAAGTACAATGACGCTTTCCGAAGTGTCCTTTTTTTTAGAATACGCTAAAAAAATTTAAGTTAAATCTCGCCTATGTAGTTGTCCGGGTCGCCATCGAATCTAAAGGTCACTAATGATGATATGTACATAGCCTGAGTAGCAGACGTGGAACCGGGTAGGGCACAAGGGTAGGGCCGGGTTATAGGGGAAAAAAGGGAGGGAGATCGGGGTGAGAGGGTTTTGCGCTTTTCTCTCTCCCCTACCCCTTCCCCTCCCCTTTTCGCACCTGCTACGCAGGCCAATAAGTGCGCTGATACCACACAAAGTAGACTTTAACTCAACCGGAAGTTCTTCAATTTTTCTGGTGGTTCTCGTCTTTCATTTCTTTCCTCTGTTTTCTTTTTAGGAAGTATTACGTAAAAGAAGTCTACAAAGTGATACAAAAATCAGACCCCGGAAATGGCGATCGGTTTTTGTTGGATCTTGAACTTGGTTTAATGCATGACCCATTGAATCGATCAATTCGCTTTGTACAACACGTGTACCATAGAAACGGAAGTGATATATTGTGCCATCCTGAAGGAATGAACTGGAACAGCAGCGCCACAGTGTATTTTATCCTCGCTGTCAAGGATCAAGGACTATGGGTGCAGCATTTCATCAAACAGCTCACCATTGCGAGCTTATTAACCGGTGACACGAACTTTCACGTCATAATCGCTGATTTTCAAAGTAAAGATATTAACATGAGCGAGGCGTTTAGCACATCACTACTCCGAAGTAGGCATACTATCATTAATTTAATGGGAAAATTTTACAGGACTCTTGCCTTAAACAAAGCAGCCGAAGCAGTGCCTAATGCGCATGACATACTTTTCGTGTTTGACCTTCACATAGATGTGCCTGCAGACATCATGGACAGCGTTCGAAAGGTTATTCTATTCATAATACCCACTCTCTGATCTGTCTTCTCATTCGTTAAAAGTCTTCAGTTAATTTTAGAAATCAGCGCAACCTAAAGGTACGGAAAAACGGACAACAAAAAACATGCAACTTGTCCTCTGTAACATTGCTACAAAATGAGTTGAAGGGCCATGTTGGGCGTTTTACAACCCACATGAAACCTGTCTTGCAACAAATAAGGCTGTTAACAGGTTTGAACAAGCGTGGTAAAACGCGCAACATCGCTATTCAATCGTCTGCAGCAATGTTGCAAAACGAGTTGCACGTTATTGTTGCCCGTTTTACCGAAGCTTAAAGATTTATCTGCTAGCATGTGGCGGATTGACTAATCTGTAGGTTGTTTGCGCAATGCATGATGTCAATCTGTGTTCCGTGTGACCGTTAGTCTGCTACATAGCCGTTTTTAGTGTCGTTACGCAACGCTTCACACCAAAAACACTATACATTTTTAAAATGACGGAGCATAATATCTTCTTTAAACTGCCCTAAGGACAACCAGTATCAAATTCCACCTTGTCATTCCAACGCTTTATAAAACAGAGTAAAAAATAGGAAATAGCAGTTATCGAACCCAGTCCCTTCGGCTCCGAAGGTCAAGCGTTTCTCCACGTACGAAGATGATAGAAAGGACCTTACAAATTCATTCATTCATTCATTCATTCATTCATTCATTCATTCATTCATTCATTCATTCATTCATTCATTCATTCATTCATTCATTCATTCATTCATTCACTTAAGCCAGTAAGCTCAAAAACAATTGTTAGATTCGGTTTTTGTGATTTGCAGAATAATCAAGGTCGAGGAAGTTATATCATCCGAGACCTTTGGCTGATAACACTTACCTCGAACTTGATTATTCCGGATATCACAGAAACCTCATCCAGTAATTGTCTCTAACTAGTTGACTTCCCTTTTCCTTCATTAGCCACAAAACTGGTGTAGTCTGCGTCACGGATGACGTTCATATGTAATTTAACCTCGGTTAGTAACGTCTGCGAAGCAGCGCCGGTATCCATATTCTGGGAACTGGGCACCCAGCGGACTCAACGAATTACCGGAAGTGCGTCTCGAATTTCCTTTCAACCTGATTGGCAAATCGACAATCATGGCGCGTACTCAAATCCTGAAACACAGCTGGAGACCCTGCCTCGTACCCAGTCGCTCGCGATCTTTTTTGAGGGATATTTGAGAAAGCGCTCGTTCGTTCCCAGCATCCCCCGTTTCCCCCTTGTCTCCAGCTCTCGCGTGTTCCCCAATCCCCACTTAGCCTTGGGAAAACCTGTGGAGGAGGCAGGCTGGAGACCCGAAACAAGGATTTTGGTGCTGTTTCGCAGACGCACTCAACCAAGGTTTAGTTTCCTCTTTGGTGAAGGCTAAACTGGTGCCAAGTGTAAAGCTAAGATCACCATTCATACCTCAGAGAAAGGCTCCTTGAAAAAGATTGAAACAATGAAATCAAATCGTAGTAAATATTATCTCTCCTTCTCCTTAGAACACTATTGCAGGTCGTATGGTTTATTTCCCGGCAGTTGGCCGCCTAGATCAAGGAAGTAATTCTGTGGAACATCGAGGTTTCTGGCAAATGGATGGGTACGGACTAGTGGCGATGTATAAATCAGATTGGATAAGAGTAGGAGGTAAGACTAAAATAATTTATCCTTTGCCGAAACTAGGGTAAAGCATTTTCTCACACCAGAATAGAAAGAGAAACTGTAACGTCATCTTACCACGGTAGCAAAATTTGTGGGTCACAACAATAGCGAGTTGTTGCTACCATGGCATCGTGTCGTAACGGCTTCTCCTCTCTATTAAGAAGAGGCATTCGTCACTTTACAAACGAGAGGAAAACTGGGCCCAGTGAACTTTCGCAAAGACTTGAAGGACCGCTACCAGGGACAAGGGAAAAAACCGGCCCGTACCCAGTAACAATTGCCGTGTTACAGTGATACGGGCATCCCCTTCTCATATAGAGAGAAGTGTGACGTCACGTTACCATGGTAGCAAAATTTTTGGATCACAAGTTCACAACAATAGGAAGCTTAAGTAACGACGACGGTGACAGCAACGAGAACAGCCAAAAAGTAATAAGTTTAGATAAAAAACAACAACTTTACACGTGCATCACGCTTTTTTGTACATTTCTTAACCGTCGTTACACGAATACGACGTGAAACTTCCGTAATTTCACGCGCCCACTTTGTAAAGTAGGTGAACACAACGCATTTTTTATTTTTTCTTTTTCTTAACCTAAATACGGTCCTCTTGGATTCAACCCCAGAAAATTTAGCCAACATTTGACAAAATTGATTGAAACTAAATAAGATCGATGAAGTCTTAAACGACGCGAATTCACTTTTTAAGTGACGTTTATCGGTTTGTTGTCATCCAGAAATTTTGCTACCATGGCAACGTGACGTAACGAGTTCTCCTCTTTATTACCTTAGCGATCTGGGTCAGGGTTAGGGCTAGGTCGTACTGCGTCACGAAATTCCATCAAATTTGGACCAAATGTTGGAAGCTGAAGATTTCTCTACCTCTAGGACATCTTTTTGTCTCGCTTTTACGCTCAACTGAAAGTAACAATCACGAATTATGGAATATCGGTTTCATAGAAAGACATCGTTCCTGCTTTTTGGACTGATATTAGCTGCATCTGTTTTATTTTCTTTTCACACCTCGAACATTTTAATATTTTTTTACTATTTTTGTTTCCTTCTTGTTTTCACTGCGCATGTGTGTTCAACTAGGAATGAATACTAAAGACTACAAATACAAGTGGGGCGGAGAAGACTGGGATCTACTCGACCGCGTGTTAATGGCGTCACTTGAAGTAGAGCGAAACAAGCACCCAGGCCTCTATCATCACTACCACCCCCCCAAAAAGTGGAATTAGACAGGATTACGAACCAGGATGCACAGACAGTCATTATTAATGGGTGTTTAAGTTAGCAAGCATAAAAGCCTAGGGGCAGGACTCGGGCAGGGTTTGGGATGGGTTTCTGCCCCACAAGAATCCAAATTCTGACTAAATCCTGTTCTTGAACTCTCTTATTCAGGAGAGCGTTCGAAATGTGTACATGTTACCCCGCTCTTTCGAATACAGATACCCCGTTTTAGAAGGACTCTGCACCCCCCCCCAATACCTGGAGGGAGGGGGCTGGCAAACTTAACCCCACCTCGTCCCCAGGATTTTCCCCACCCATTTTTAAGGGAAAAGTCCTAGGGACGAGGCTGCAATTAACCTAATATATTAAACGTGGTGTCGCTGGGCGATTGGGTTATTTTGTGTGGGAAGAATTTGTTTTCCAGGCCTAATAATCTACTGTGATCAAGAGCCAAAATCAAAATTACAGCCGTATGACTGAAGGAAAAAAACAACAGAACCGGCGGCAAGTGTTTTTCTGCCTTCGATGAGCCCGCTGTTAGGGTACATTTTTGCTTAGTCTGCTTTACTGCATGCGTCTCTCTTCGTAATCAAGAATATTTATTCAGTTTATTCTATTTATTTCGGTGTTGGGCATTCTAACTTTATTCAGGGATATATAATACATAAATAAGTTTGTTTTTAGATCGGTTCGGAAATCAAAAGTTCCAAATATCTTTTGTTTAGGGTTCAAACGATGGTGTTTATAAACTGTCAGAACAGCTGAACACACTTTTAGATTCTACTAGCAAACCTTGCTGGTAGGTTAAGTATTTGACGAAAGATTTTGCACCGACCTCTTTGGTGTTGGGATCAATCAAAAAATAGAAGTTGGACGCACGGTTAAACATCATAAGTGTGGCTTCAGTCTTTCACAATTAAAGGTTAAACTGAGGTTAAGAAACACCTCTTCAAGCTTATTGAAGAAACATAAAAACATGTTCTTTAGACAAAAGTAATTACTTCCCTTAGTAGATGTATTCAGCTGTGGAATGGGAAAATGAGCAATTTCTGTAAACGAAGTTCGTTATTTTGAACCTGAAGTTAGTTCTTACTTTCGCTTCCAAACTTGAATCATAATCAGATTTCCCGATCTCATTAAAATTTTGTTTAGGCCACGCGACCTAACACCATTTTAGTTCTTTGTTCTCGGTTGGGCTAAATTTCACTTACTTTTCCAATTTCAAAGTGGAATTTCTTTCGACAGAATCTTAGGAAAAATTGGTTTCTTTCAAACCATCGTTTTACCTTCTTGTATAGAAATTTGGCTATAGGGATATTTTCAGTTTTGCAATTTTTTCCACACGCAGCTGAATTCAACTGATTTCGGTATCTTTTGTTCTATCAGTTCTAACCCTCCAAACACCTATTATGCGCATAAGAATACTATTGACCTTTCTTAGAAGCTACTTAACTTAATTGTTTAGTATTAATGCAACCACTTCACTTAGAAAATCTTGGAACTTAGAAGAACTAAGAAGCTCGATAATACACCGTCGTTCAATTCAACTTCTTGTGTACCTCGGATTTCTCAAAATCTGTAAGCTCTACACCGAAAGTCACACTAGAAAAGGAAAAGAAAAAAATGGAAAGAGCGAGGAGAAGGAAAGGGGAGAAAAAAAATAGTATTGGTTGCACCCCTTTTTCTTCTGATGAGTTCTTTGAAGATAGCATTTGAACGACAAAAAACTGTTTGATGGGAGAGATCTATTTTGGCTGTAAAGTACTTATAGTACTTATAGTACAAAAATCCAACTATTGCTGGTTTTCAGTGTCACGCCATTCAAAATAGATCAAAATAAAAATCAAAACCGTTCAACAGATAAAGTCCAGAACCTGGGAAATAAAAGGAGGTAAATATGCAAAGACCCTCGCCAAATTTCAGGTCAGAGGAATATTTCGTATACGAGATATTCGAAGAAACGTTTTAGACAGAGGAATGCAACGTGTAAATTGGCTGCCACCCAAATTTTAAGAGATTTGTATGGAGACACCATGCTGGTGCTCATCCAGATGAGCTCCAACATGGCGGACGGAAACCAACAGAAACATCTGTTACGGAGTTTTGCTACAAAAGTGTGAATTTATCCTTCGAAGAACTCATAAACATTAAAGTAATACTTTTTCTAACACATGAACCGTTTGGATAGGAAAATTCCCAGAAATAAGTCATTTTTTTAACCTACATCACAGCTCTCTTGGCCGTCATGTAAATGCCGCGTCACACAAAAGCTTAGAAATTCAAGCGTACTCTATCACAAAACCAAGAATCCTTTTGAAGCGAAAATTTGTTTGAAAATTATTTTTTAGCCGCTCTAATACATCGTGAAAGTAAAATTTCGGTCGGATCGATAGTTTTGAAGTTTGAATTTTAGTGACGTCATGTGAAAACCAGCAATAGATATATATTTTTCATCCATCACATCCACTCACTTAAGCCTGCGCATGTTTTATAAGGGGGAGGGGGTACTCCCTTGTATGGCCTATTCGGGGCAAACTCTTCCCCAGGGCGTTTTTTCCTGGCTTTGGAGGCAAAGCCAGAGAAAAGCGCCCTGGGGACGAGGTTGTGTTCGGGGATCAGTGCTGCTGGACCTCTCTGTCCTAAAAAGATATATAATTTCGCTGGAGTCTGCCAATGGGGTATTGCCTCGGGTATTGCCTGCACGATCGATTTGATTTGCTATTTGAACTTTTTTTATTTATACTTCAATTACAAAAAAGCAATGACTATAACGTGAATTTGCTCTTGCGTGCGTTCTGTCCTTTTTCCTAAACAGGGTAATAGAATAAGGGTTGTTGTCCTTATAAATAGGGTAATATTAAATGTATTTTAGGAATTTTTTGTCTTAAACACGGTCGGGGTTTCAAACCTTCAGCGGCTCAACTATACTCAAATACTGGTCAAATACCGCCCCGGGACTCTAGCCTGTCTTTGTTCTGTATCCTCTTCTACCACACCAATCCTCCCCTCCCGTGTCCTCTTTGACAGTCCTCTCCCACGTCCACGTCATGTTGACCCTCCACCAGCACTTACCCTACTCTCTACCCCCCCTGATCTTATACCTCGCACACCTCTCTGTCGACCTCCATCAACTGACTGGCCTCTCTGGGTTGTGCGAACCTGTCCACAGGGCCTCCCTCCTCTTCTTCTCCTTCCCCGGGTGCAACCTGATTCGGTTTGAGTATCATTCTCGCTCTCCACGTCGGTGCCATTGGAAGAATTTGACTCAGAAGGAACAAGCAAATTTCTCCGCCTTGTGAGAACCTCTTCATGGGCATTTCAAAGACAGCGACGGAGAATCGACAATGTGGGTGATTTCCCTTGCACCAATCAGTGCACCGGGGTTGATCCCCGCGAAAAAATCCCCGAGAAAAAAAATTCAACTAAGTTGAGTTGGAAGCCATCTTCATCTTGTCCAAAATGATGTCAAGTGTTCAGGGGCGTAGCCAGGATTTTTCAAAGGGGGGGGGTCACAGAGGCTACTCACCAGATTGTCATGTCGACGATGTCGACTATATTTGGTTTATACCGCTGCTCTCCCTCGTGTATCAGCGGGCTCAGTCGTATTATCGCGGCATGAAGGCCCATATTAACTAAAGACAAGAGCCGTTGACGAAAATACTTTACAAAAAAACAAATTTTAAAAAAGTGGGCTTTTCAACAATGGCTTTTACGGCCAAGATATTGTCATGGCGTTTTCGCCACCTGAATATTGTAGGTTGTTTGCTCGAAAGAAGGCCTACCAAGGGGGGGTCACGGGCACCCCAGGACCCCCCCTAGCTACGCCCCTGGTGTTGCAAAATCCCAAGCATGTAATGCCTTTTAACTGTAAGTAGACCAAATACTGGCTGCAATCTTCGGTAGATTTGTTACAAGCGAATCCATAATTAATTTAGATGCACGTTTTATGTCTATTTGTATTTCGTGCATCAAAAAAACAAAAGAAAAAAAAAGAAAAAAAATCTGTGCCAGGTTTTCAAGCTGGCTAAGATAACCCTGGGTTTGGGCGAAATTGCTATTTAGAATTTCTCAAAAGGCAAATTCAGTTTCATTCCTTTTCTCTACAAATTAATTATTGTATGCTCTCGAAAGTATAGAGACAATTTTCGAGAAAACGGTTTTAAACAAAAGAAATTAAAAAGATACCCGGATTAAAAATTAACCCCGGATGTGATAGTGCTAATTGGCCTATAAACGACTTGTAATCAACAAATCGCTGTGGCGTAATGACGGATAAGTCACAGCTAGTTGAGAAGGTTGCTTCATGTCCAGGAGAAAAACGGAATTTAGGAAGGGGAAAAATAGCACCAGATGAGAATAGATGATGGTAGAAAAAAAGATAGGTACCGGAAAACGAGTCCTTTTTTCTATAAGCAGTAAGTATTTATGGCAAGTTTAAGATATGTAATACGTTAATGAATTCACTGTTGTCGTTGCAACAAGAAAAACAATTACGAAATGTGAGTTCCTCTTAGGAAAAAAAGTAGACTTATACCTAGGAAGGGTCTTCTTGGAGCACACATCGAGTTTTTCATGCATACGCGGCGTTCCTCGTACTCGATGGCAACTCGAAGTGCAGAACTGCTGAGTACCACGACACGGGCAGGCATTTCTTTCTGCTTCTCTTAAGCAAAAGCCAGTACATGTACACAACGAGATATCATCGCGTCCTGTCTAAGCGCGGGAACCTCAGTTGAGGACGGGAAAGCGCTCGGAAAGGACTAAACACGACTTCTGGTGCTCAATTTTGCCGCTCTGTCATTGGTCAAGCCAGGTGTTTGATTTGCGCGCGCCGTCGTCAACTGACGTCCCCGTTCTGTTGCTAAATAAACGTAATGTCTCATCGAGAGTAAAGTTTATTTCAATGAAATCATCATCCTTTCACGTCATGTAAGACTTCACGAATTGTTACATTTGATGAGGTCTTACATGACGTAAGTACTTTTCAAAACAAACAAACAAAACCCTGATTATCCTGCGCAGTACGGACTGGAAGGCATCATACACACTTCATGTAAGGCGGGAAAGCGTATGACCACCCTGCTCTGATCTTGTTAAGCAAAGTCAACTAAAGAGTCAATAAAGACAAAAACGGAAAGCAGAAAATGTTTCTGTGTCCGTGTTGTCTAAAGTATTAAGCTTAGATTAATTGTCATGTCTACAAATTTAGAATATAGCAGAGAAAGAGAAGGACAGAGAAAAAGAGAAAGTAGGGCAACAGGCCAGCGAAGCTCAACGATAAAAAGAGCTAGAGCGAGAGAGGGAAAAAAACAAAGGAGACATTTTCTGTTGGAGCCCAACATGAACATTTTGTAGGGGCGGTAAGAAAATGAGAAATGTTAGCGGCCACCAGGGTGAAAATGAGCGACGGTGAAAAAAAACAAGTGAACAAGAACACATACGACATTTCCTCTATAAAACGTGTATCGTGCTGTAGTTGTGCAAAATAACGGCAAAGAAATGTACAAAAAAAGTGTGCTGCACGTGCAAAGTTGCTTTTTTGCTAATTAAACCTTTTGTTCCTTTTTCACCGTTCTTGTTACCTTCGCCGCTTTAGCATTACACGATTTTATATTTTGTTTGAGCAAACTATAAATATTATCGAGAGCTTCGCTTTTAGCCCTGGCTAAATCTATATAGTACGATCCATGGCAAGTTTTTTTTCTACTTTTTAAAAGTAGCAAAGTGTGTTGATACTGTTGACACCCGTTAACTCAATGCATGTCAGCATTTGTACCCAACTGTGGAGACCGTAGTCAGGCAGCCAGATTTTACGTAGACGTTGTAGAGGGGAGGGATGTGACATAAAAAACGTCCAGTTGACGTTAAGCGGGGACCAGGTGAATAATGCCGACGGCCCTTTGACGAAATTAATTGCCTGCTAAATTAGCGTACGGTTAATTTTTATATTTCTTCGCACAGACAACGCAAAATAAAGGGCGCTTTCCATTTCGGAAAAAAACCCGGAAATTTCGGTGGGAGCAAAAGTGGAATTTCCGATTGGTAAAAAGTTGTTCCATTTGGTCGTAAACCCCGGTACGTGGCAGTGCCCGACCGTGGACCTGGAACTGGTACAAACTACGAGAAACGTGCAAACAGAAAACGAAGTTCCGTTCGGAAATCCCAACCGGGAAAACAGGCCCATCTTTTTAAATTTTCCACTTTTTCTGGGAATTTTCCAGTGGACGAAACGACGAACGAAACGTGTTCCATTTACCGCCGAACCCGAAATTCCGGAAATTTTGTCCAAATGGAAAGCGCCCAAAAAGTCTTCATGGGCGCTTTCCATTTAGTCAAAATTTCCGGAATTTCCGGTTCGGCGGTAAATGGAACACGTTTCGTCGGTTCGTCCCACTGGAAAATTCCCAGAAAAAGTGGAAAATCTAAAAAGGTGGTCCCTTTTTCCCGGTTGGAATTTCCGAACGGAATGTCGTGTTCCATTGACGTTTCTTGTAGTTTGTACCAGTTCCAGGTCCACGGTCGGGCACCCGGCCACGTACCGGGGTTTACGACCAAATGGAACAACTTTTTACCAATCGGAAATTCCACTTTTGCTACCGCCGAAATTTCCGGGTTTTTTTCGTAAATGGAAAGCGCCCCTTGTAAAATAAATATTAGTATTACGTCTTGGCAGGTTTCAGTCAACCAATGTTTAACTAGACACATGCAAATGTTGCTTGAAAGATAACACACACTTTAACACACACACTTAAGATATCACATTTGCATATTAAAGATATCAGTTTCCACCTGCACTGCGGTACTTCCGCCTACCTAAGAGTTTCTCAGAACTGCTTCGTCTTGGGTTTAGCTTTACGACCTCGCCTTATTAAGCCGTTATCGTCAGACCAAACGAGGCTGGAAAACTGGTGCGAACGGCAGTAAGAAATAACGAAAATTCTTTGCGTGAATATCCAAGGAAACCGACAGATGCAAGGAAAACGTAGCTAGCTAACACTTTAGCACTGTAAACTTCAGTCGAGTAGTTATTCAAGTATGAACGGGATTTTTAGATACCTAGTGCCGCTTTCATCGCCCGAGTCCACACTTCCAAATTCCAATTCGAGGCAGATTTCTAGCATACTGACGGATATGATAAACTATAAGGAACTATAGATCTTATAGGTGGTTTTCACTTTACGTCATCGCCGCCATGCTGGTGGACGGTAAACAAAAGATCGCTCATTAGCTCGCTTTGTTTGTCCACCAGCATTTGTTCATTTCACCATTGTTATTTGTGTCTCCCGAGATTGCATGAAAACCACCTATAGCAGCTGTATAGCAACCATCGAGACATGCGTGGATTGGGAATCCATAAGATTTCAGTTTATCGTATCCTTCGATTTGCAACAAATAGTTTGGAGCTGGGTTCCCGTAAGGCCATGTAAAAGAAACACAAATGTTTCTCGTCCGCATTTCTGTATAAAAAAAAGGGAGCGCGCTTTTTCCGACTTTTTCATCAACTGGCCATTTGAATTCTTTCTTGACAAATTAAGAGCCAATGTCTGTAATTTTCGACAATCGGTTGACAGTCGTGAATTTTTTAATTTCTTCATATATTGCCCAAATAATCTCTATAGTACCCTAATTTCAAAAATCACGTTAAAACTTGTAACAGCTTTTTATTTTTTCAGGAATCAGGCAAAGTTTGAAAACCTCTAAATCGGTGCTCTTTCGAGTATGAAATTAGCGAAAATTGAGCATTTTCTTCGCGCTCGTACACAAAAACGGAATAATATCTCTAGATGAAACACGTCACAAAAGAGACACACATTTTCACTTTATAATTCAGCAGTTAACTTTAAATAAACCGTTTAAATGTGACTGTACCGGCCGCAAGAAGAAACACGGTTTCAGCACTTTTCAAAAATGGCAAATTTGACCTAACTTCACCATCGTAAAAACCCAGTTGGTACACGGAATTTTAATATGAAACAAGAACTGTATTGAAGCATATCCTTTGCTGTTGTTTGTGTTAAAATATTTCTGGCGACATTCCAAATGCGCACCGTCGAGAGACCAAAACCTTAAGGGTATTTTGACACCAGGAAAGCGCGTGTAACAAGCAAGTTTCGACGCTTGGAATATTAATCCTTCGCAAACGTAAGTTACTTCGACATTTAAACCCTAGTCAGAGTTGTAACGGTTTCAGATTATATTTCGGCGTTTCTGTGCGGTTTAACATGATTCCTTTCAACTGATTTTTGCGATAAACCATAATGAAGAGACGAATACGCAGTTCAAATCACAGTTAGTAGAGGGGATTATTGTCGAAATACTCGCTTGCAAAAGTTTTAATCGTATTGAAACCTTAAAATCAGAAAAGGTATTTACTTACCTGAATTTAAATGCTAGACGGGGTCACAGTACCGCTAACTAAATTCTGCATCAAAGGCAGAATCGAAGTTAAGTTTGTATATGTTTTCAATCTGTCAACACGAGGGAAGATGACATTCCGGAAGTGCGTGACGCGCACGAGGAGCCGCAAGGGGTGATATTTTTTCCCGGCAACTGGCGGCACATCAGAGAATTTGGAATTGAAGGGCAAATTCCTAGAATATCTTCGCCAGTTAAGCTAGAGAAAAGGTGTTAAAAAACCTCAGGATCCAAAACAACACGTCAATCAAAATATCACTTGGACCTTTTCGCTAATGAAGAGCTATCACGCGGCTAAGCTTGAATTAGACATATATTGAAATAGGAACTCGTGTCAATAAAGTATCAGAAGTGAGTGGGAATCGCTCCTGGTTAAAAAACTGGTTCACAGGGATATGCATCTCTTCTAGTTAAGAGAAGGGAATCAGAACTGCTTTTCATGCAGGAACAGGTTTTCTTCGGGCTAACTACAAAACTTCAGCTTATTTCACTCTTGACATTGTCAAAGCGCATTTTGTAAAGATAACTTTTTCCGCTTTATCAGCTTTTTTTATATTCTATTCCATTAATATTTAACCTCCCTCAAAAAGCCAAATAATATAAATGCTGTTGTTAAAAAAAAGCGTTTAACCTGTTTTCCTGAATTCGCTACCCAAAGATCACTATGCTCAAAGGACAGGGCAAAATTTCTAGGAGAGAGGCATTAATTTTTTTTCCCACGAGGTTACAAAGAGAAAATTTGCAATGATTATTATTAATGTAACCATCAGGCATACTCTACCCACGAGTTTACGGACAGCAAATGCAGTGATTATTATTAATGTAACCATCAGGTATGTTCTACCCACGAGGTTACAGAGAGCAAATGCAGTGATTATTATTAACGTAACCATCAGGTATGTTCTACCCACGAGGTTACAAAGAGAAAATGTAATGATTATTATTAACGTAACCTTCAGGTATGTTCTACCCACGAGGTTACAGAGAGCAAATGCAGTGATTATTATTAAATGTAACCGTCAGGTATATTCTACCCACGAGGTTACGGAGAGCAAATGCAATGATTATTATTAACGTAACCTTCAGGTATGTTCTACCCACGAGGTTACAAAGAGAAAATGCAATGATTATTATTAACGTAACCTTCAGGTATGTTCTACCCACGAGGTTACAGAGAGCAAATGCAGTGATTATTATTAATGGAACCATCAGGTATGTTCTACCCACGAGGTTACAAAGAGAAAATGCAATTATTATTATTAACGTAACCTTCAGGTATGTTCTACCCACGAGGTTACAAAGAGAAAATGCAATGATTATTATTAACGTAACCTTCAGGTATGTTCTACCCACGAGGTTACAGAGAGCAAATGCAGTGATTATTATTAATGTAACCATCAGGTATGTTCTATCCACGAGGTTACAAAGAGAAAATGCAATGATTATTATTAACGTAAACTTCAGGTATGTTCTACCCACGAGGTTACAGAGAGCATGCAAATGCAGTAACAATTATTAGATTTTAGTGCAACTATCAGGTTAAGTTCCTGCATTAAAAGAGGTTTTTGCTAGGGTTAAACAAGTTTGGCTTTCATGAGTTTCAAGGTGCAAGAAATTGTCAGTATAATTATAGCACACAAACATTGTCATCTAATTTTTCGCACGTAGCCGGAATAACTCAAGAAATGAAGCATATATAACGAAAAATCGTCCGCAGATGATCTCCATATTAAGTAAATTATACTAAACGTTGCGAAAGCTGAAAGAAATTATTGTTTGTATCCGTCTTATCCATCGCAAAAGCGAGGGGTCATCCAATGACATCCGGTATACTAAACAGAGGTAATACTCACGGGTTTCACGAGTTGTATGCACTATTTTTCGCCGAGAAACAAATTTAAACTTCAATTCTTACCTTACAGTAGTCCGTTCTTTTACCTTGCATTCGACAACAAATCTGTTAAAGGCGAACAAAGCGATTCCGGCACTCTTCTTTATGATGAGTAGCAAGCCGCAGGAACTGAAGCCGCTTGACTGAAGTAAAATCCACCGATATGCACGGCATTCTCACTACAAATATAAACAAACGTCGCGGGGAAAAAACGACGAGGAGGAAAAAATGCCAGGTCTTCGCCTCGGCAATGTATTTCAGCTACCATGCCGGCGTATCTCCAGAAGGTGGACTCAAAGTGGGACAAACCTTGTGATTTTTTTTTAGAAGCCCTTTGCGCGCAAACTAATTTATTCTGGCGCGAAATGAAGATTAACAATATGTATACTGAAATCTAATCGACGACAAGAAGATTTTCGCACTGTAGCGCGACATATTAAATGCCTGTTTTTACAAGTACGCGGAGAAAGTGGTCCACTAGTTTAACTTTTTTAAGATGAATGTACTCCACAAAAGCAAAATGAAATGTTTTATTTCTATGTTGTTTACGTGCCTGATTAGAAGGCAGAGGTAAATTCATCATACAGACCCCATCGAAATGAAAGTACACGAATGAAACGGAATAAGTCTGGGACGGTTTAGTTTCTACTCAGCCGCTTCTTTGCTTCTATAACAAAAATTTAATGTTGCAGTCTGTTTTAAACGTTGGCATATCAACGCGCACAGTCACTGAATGAAAACAACAGTCACGATCACGTTCTTCGAAACCGACCAGACGCGCGCGACCTACCACTGTTATGGTAAGCAATTATCCTAACGGTGTTAATGTTCCCGTGACAGTCTTCGCACTGAAGGTGTAAATGGTAAACCGAACGGTCGCTTTGATCATCAGAAAGACCTGTCAACTTTGATGATTTAACTGATTAAATTACGGGACAGAAATTTTACTGCATGCGGCTCCTCGTGACGCGCCGGAAAAGAAATTCCTGGTATAAGTGTTTTACGGTGCAAGTCTTTGTTGTATGTTCGTATAGCATCTCGCACATATTCAAACTTGGTTTGTGGCGCCTGTGGCAGCAGTAATGCTGAATGAATTGCGATCATAGAAAAGATGTCGTGAGTCACTTGGTATGCTCCTGACTTGTTAGTAAGGTGAGTATGTAGGGCAATAACCAAACATCGACCCTACCATGCTAATGATAAAAGTAAGGTTTTCTGCATTTACGTTAGGTGATCTTTGTTTGATCCACAAAATTGGCGCATGAAAATAAGAGTTTTTCCTCACCACCTTTAAATGTTTGGTTTCGAGTAGCGGTGCAACAAATCACGTGGTACCGTTCTAGATCAACCTACTGGCTGCTCATAGAGGGGTCCATAAAGGCACATTGATTGATGACTCTGTATGGCCTGAACTGAAAATAATGTAGCAGACGTTTTCTGAGCAACGAATGTGCAGCTTTTACACTCCTCTTTCGTTTCGAAAATAGACGAGCACGCGAGCGAAGCGAGCGAGCGAGCGAGAGCCCCTTGCTCTACTGGTCAATATATCCCCCGCGGCTTTTATTTTCATACGCAAAATCGACGATCTCCAAAGAGAAAATAGATGGACGATCTCTAATGAAAAAGTAGAGGGTCTGTGAACAGGCTACGAAGGTGCTTGCTATTATTTTAGTGAACTTTACAAGAGGTCTCAGATGATTATGCTAACGTCATGAAAAGTCTACTTTAGGGAAGGAGGAGGAGATGGGTGGGTTGGTTGGCATTGGGTTCTCCATTAGGATCAACCCTACACATACAACAATCCATGTCTTTATCACTACATTTAGAGCTAGCAGACTTTGTTTGATCCACAAAATTGGCGCATAAAAATAAAAGTTTTTCCTCACCACCGCTAAATGTTTGGTTCCGGGTGGCGGAGAACAAATCACGTTGTTCCGTTCCGGAACAGCCTACTGGCCATGCTGGCTGCTCATTTAAAAAGGGTCCGTAAAGGCACATTAATTGATGACTCTGTGCGGCCTGAAGAAAATTATATACGCAGACGTCTTCTGAGCGACGAAGGTGCTGCCTTTACACTTCTTTTTCTTTTCGAAAATGGCCACGGACTTCTCTCCTCGCTCCTCGCCGCTAGGCGGACGTTTTTGCCTGAGAGATACCACCATGAAGGAGTTTTAGCACACAAGTCATTGCAGGTGCAGACCTACGAAAAGGGCATTCTCCATCTGAAATTTTAAATCGAAATGAAAGGCTGTTTTCAGCCTTTTATCTCTTTTCACCGCAACGTATTTGGTTAAAAGATAGTAAGTAAAATGGCTGAGGCACTTTAAAGCATTTTTTTTTCATTTACGCGACGGATTTTGACGTTATGTATGGTGGCCGACAACTGCCATACGTCAACACGACATAAATTTGTTAATTTTAGATTGAACTTTAATTATTTTGAATTGAAAATAAAACGAAAGAAAAACGTCAAATTATTTTGTTTTTCATTGAACTGGAACAGGAGCCCATCAGGCTCCTGACTGGAAATAGATTCATTTTGTAAAATTTCAAAACAAACTTTGTTATTATGAAATGAAAATAAAAATAAAAGTGAAATAGAAGCAGAAGTGAAACTAATTTGTTCACGGCCGGGAACAGCCATTCAAAACAGAAAAAGTAAAATTATTATGTTCGCGGCCGGGAACTGCCATTCAAAACAAACAAAAAGTAAAATTAATAGGTTCATGGCCGGGAACTGCCGTTCAAAAAAAAAAAAGAAAGAAAGAAACCTGAGACTTTTGGCGGGAGACGATAGTCTTCCTCGCAGCCGCTCGGGCTGTGGTCACCCAATTCTCCCCGCTGTCATACATTCCTTTCCCACTGACCTCGTTCACTTAAGTGTAAACAGGCTAAATTCGTTCCCAGGTTGTCTCTCCGTTGGAGAGAATCCTGGGAACGAGGTTGTCTTTCTAGACGTCGACGGTTTGTTAAAGGGAACCTCCACTTCAACAAAAAGATAACTTTAAATCACAGGAAATAACTGTTACAGTCAAGTCAATCTAAAATATTTTTAAAGAAAGCGTTTGTATCTGAAAGAAATAACTTTTAGATTCGCCTATTTTTGTTTTCAAATTTTGCGGGCGTCGCCATCTTGAATAATTGTGACGTGTAATGGTTGCCCTATTGTTATTAAACAAAAGCTCTTTGTGTCAGAACAATAGAGCAACCGTAACACGTCACAATTATTCAAGATGGCGGCGCCCGCGAAATTTGAAAGTGAAAATAAGCGATTTTAAAATTCACTTTTCCTGATATAAACACTATTTTTAAGACAAATTTCGAACAAATTTGTTTATCAACATAATTTTATTCGATTTAAACTTATTCTGTAGTAAGAGTGGAGGTTCCCTTTAAAGCTACAGAGGTTTTTTAGCTCATGGATGACGTAGTCATGCCATGGGCTTTTGGAGACACTCGAATGGCACTCGATCACTCACTCACTCACTCACTCACTCACCCACCCACTCACTTACTCACTTACTTCATATGGAGAAGATGCGATCGACAGAGTGTGAAAGAGCTATCGAAGCCGGACGATGTGATTTCCTTCAGCGAAATTAAAGCAAATAAGCCAAAGAGTGACCAAAGAGCCTTAGCTGCAAAAAACGGTCCTCGAATTGTAAAGCGGCGTTGACGTTTACATGAGAAAGCAAATTATTTTACAACTAAAAAGAGTTAATAAGCTTAAGGTGACCTTTGCGTTATTAAAAGAAATGCTGCACTGATAACAAGGTTCTAGAATATTCAGGTGCACATGCAATCGGATACTTACACTGTGTCGGGTTTGAATTCCTAAGGTCAGAACAAGTGCAGCTTTGGGCAAGGATCTAACTCCCTTAAATGCGTGAGTGCTATAGAGATGCCAACAAGTTACTATAGAAATGCTGACGAAATGCTTTTTAAAACAGCAATGTACGCCAAAAAGTAGATGCCAAAAAACAAATGCTAAATACCGTATGCCAAAACACAAGTGCCAAAAATAAAATGCTAAAGAAAGGTAAACATTATCTATCAAGTAACCAACACACAAAGAAAGTCATAAAATATAAAAAAAAGAAAAAACTAAGGAGAAAGTGAATATGTTACAGTGCCCAAGCAGTTTAAAACAAATGAATTTCGAAATGGAATGTTTCTCAAGCCTTCAAAGTTGCTATAAATACAGAGGTGATAATCTTCAACAATAACGAAACTCAACAATTACCAAATCAAAACGAAAAACTATTTTCTTTTCCATTGAACTGGAAATAGATTAATTTTTCCTTTATTTTCAACTCAAAACAAAACATTTTTATTATCAAATGAGAATAAAAATAAAAGTGAAATAAAAGCAGACGTAAAATTAATATGTTCACGGCCGGGAACTGCCAAATATGTCATGGCCGGAAACTGCCATTCAAAACAGAAAATGTAAAATTAGTAGGTTCGTAGCCGGGAACTGCCGTTCAAAACAGAAAAGTAAAATTAATATGTTAATGGCCGGAAAGTGCCGTTCTTTGTGTCATTACGCAAGTAGACTAGATCAAAGGCTCCTAGGAGCAAGCTCATGGATGAATTGAATCGTAAACGGGCATGGGTGCTAAGTGCCACTGCTCTGGAATTTCGTGATTGAGTTTCGTTATTGTTGAAGATTATCACCTCTGTATTTATAGTAACTTTGAAGGCTTGAGAAACATTCCATTTCGAAATTCATTTGTTTTAAACTGCTTGGGCACTGTAACATATTCACTTTCTCCTTAGTTTTTTCTTTTTTTATATTTCATGACTTTCTTTGTGTGTTGGTTACTTGATAGATAATGTTTACATTTCTTTAGCATTTTATTTTTGGCATGTGTTTTGGCATACGGTATTTAGCATTTGTTTTTTGGCATCTACTTTTTGGCATACATTGTTTGTTTTAAAAAGCATTTCGTCAGCATTTCTATAGTAACTTGTTGGCATCTCTATAGCACTCACGCATTTAAGGGAGTTAGATCCTTGCCCAAAGCTGCACTTGTTCTGACCTTGGGAATTCAAACCCGACACAGTGTAAGTATCCGATTGCATGTGCACCTGAATATTCTAGAACCTTGTTATCAGTGCAGCATTTCTTTTAATAACGCAAAGATCACCTTAAGCTTATTAACTCTTTTTAGTTGTAAAATAATTTGCTTTCTCATGTAAACATCAACGCCGCTTTACAATTCGAGGACCGTTTTTTGCAGCTAAGGCTCTTTGGTCACGCTTTGGCTTATTTGCTTTTTGCTGAAGGAAATCACATCGTCAGGCTTCGATAGCTCTTTCACACTCTGTCGATCGCATCTTCTCCATATCAAGTAATATCGCGGAACAAATGCGCACAATTCGTCCAAATATACAACAGTGATCCGCGCTCAATTATTTCAACGTCCTTTTAACAATTCCAAGTCCATTTCTTACATATGATATTCTCAGTTTTCATTAGGATATTTCCATTTATACAAAACCCATCTTCGGCTGGCCACTCTTTTGTGTCGGGAAAAAATGTACGCCTTACTAGTACCCTCTAGAATATGCCAAACATATGCGTAAAAGGCACTTTGAACAAAAGTAATGCTAAGTAAGGGAGGTAAGAGTAAAGTGTATAATTTGACTTTGATGAATAAATTAATAAGAATCGAGTGAATGAGTGAGTAAGTGGGTGAGTGAGTGAGTGAGTGAGTGAGTGAGTGGTCGAGTGCCATTCGAGTGTCTCCAAAAGCCCATGGCATGACTACGTCATCCATGAGCTAAAAAACCTCTGTAGCTTTAACAAACCGTCGACGTCTAGAAAGGCAACCTCGTTCCCAGGATTCTCTCCAACGGAGAGACAACCTGGGAACGAATTTAGCCTGTCAACACTTAACTGAACGAGGTTAGTGGGAAAGGAATGTATGACAGCGGGGAGAATTGGGTGACCCCAGCCCGAGCGGCTGCGAGGAAGACTATCGTCTCCCGCCAAAAGTCTCAGGTTTCTTTCTTTCTGCCAGAGGAATTTCAGAAAAATCGTTGGAGCAGAAGTCCGAAACTAAAAGTCGCTCAAAATTCAGCTGTGAAATTGTTTTGGAATTTCAAAAATAAATTACTATCGGGTAGAAGGAGCCACCAGTTTGAATTTTCGTGACAAGTAAATTCAACGTTTTCTAATTCTTAAAACAGAAGCCGATTGCCTATCGTGCTATTCTTTAAAAGGTACTGTTTAGTTGTAGAAGCACTATAAATTGCTCCAAACCTTGCTCTGAGGTAGAATTACTTGTTCTTCGACATTTTTAAAATATCCCATGGCAGTTTTGGTTCAAACTCCTGCTGCATACATTTTGATGTATTGCAATGCATTTTCAACGACTTTTACTTCTGTTCGTTGCTTCCAACTCAGGAAAAAAGTATTGAGATTGGACGCTACCTCGTACCAGAGCTCAGATAGAACTGTCCAGCACCTTTGTTTATGACTACAAAATGAGCGCGAGCGGCAGTTCTGCGTGGAATTCGCACCTCACACAGGGGGGACAAACGACATCGATGACCATGCCTGTGAACCGAATAACATCACAGTCCAAAATAAAATTATCGCAAAAATACTGCCCGTGAATAAATTTACAACTCTGGAATTTTTGTCACTCCTTCCCTCAATGAATGGGTATTTTTTCTTGATTATTATGTTTTGCTCTGCAATACATGTTTATACAGATCGGTTCACAGACATGGGCATCATTGTCATTCGTCCCCCCTGGCTGAGGTGCGTATTCCTCGCACAAGTGCCGCTCGTGCTCATTTTCTGGTCATAAACAAAGGTGCTCGACAGTTCTATCTGAGCTTTGATACAAGGTAGCTTACAATCCCAATACCTTTTTCCTGAATTGGAAGCAACGTACAGCAGGAAAAGCCGTTGAGGATGCATTGCAATACATCAAAATGTGTGCAGCAGGAGTTTGAACCAAAACTGCCAAGGGATATTTTAAAAATGTCGAGGAACAAGGACAACAAGTCATTCGAAGTCAGAGCAAAGTTTTGAAGCAATTTATAGTGCTTCTAAAACTGAACAGTACCTTTTAAAGAATAGCACGATAGGCAATCGGCTTCTGTTTTCAGAATTAGCAAACACTGAATTTACTTGTCCCGAAAATTCAAACTGGTGGCTCCTTCTCGCTGATGGTAATTTATTTTTGAAATTCCAAAACAATTTCACAGCTGAATTTTGAGCGACTTTTAGTTTCGGACTTCTGCTCCAACGATTTTTCTGAAATTCCTCTGGCATATTTATTATATCAATTAAAGCCGATACCAGAAATTTCAGTAAAAAATATCAGCAAAATTTTTTACTAGACGCGATTTTCTTTGAACAGTAGGGTCCTTTTAAGCGCTAATTTCTCGAGAAATATTTACCATCAGTGAACTCGGAATATTTCGAATCATTGCCTAATGATATCTGTTGTTCTTTGCAAAGTTTCGCAGCCATCGCGTTAAAAACCAAAAAGTTATGACGGAAAATTTGTCACAGCTAAATGCTCTTGTATTAATTACGGAGCCACCTTAAGCAGCGACGTTTTTGAGCGACGCACGTCAACCGGAAATGGACGTTTTGCACTCTTGAGCCGTGATTTTGAACAAATTTTTGGGCAGATCGTCTCTCTAAGAATTAAGACACTTGGCAATATAAATACGGTAGCGTCAAGGCTTATTAACAGAGGAAAAGGCTCACTTCCGCTTGACGTGCGTCGTTCAAAAACGTCGCTGCTTAAGCTCCCTTATTACCACTTAATTAAGTCCAGGAAAGTTCAATGAAAATTTCCCTCCATGTCCAAAGCTTAAAATTAAACTAAAGAAACACTTTATATTATACCTAACCTGCATAACAAGCGTTTCCAATAGAGTTATTGCGCGAGTTAGCCCCTCTCGGCCCCTCCTTCCTCTTTTTTTGCCCTCCACAAACTTAGTCTCTTGCAGAAAACTCGCGCGGAAAAGCTTGCTACGCAGGCTATTTTTAAAGTTATTGTCCAGTCACAATAAAGAAGAGACAGCTCGGTACGTTTGAATGATTATTATTAAATGTTGAAACACACCTAGCTGCCACTGTGGTGGTACAAAAATCAATAGAATATTTTAAAAATTATGCAGCCTGAGCCCCATTACGTATAGAACCCAGAAAAATCAATAGAAAGAGATACTCACGTCTGTAAAACATCCGAAGTCTTCAAATAACCACACTTCTTTGTTTGATAAACTGCACTGAATCCTGTTCAAATAAGCTTATGTACTTTCTTCAGTAATATGCCCATGAAAGTCTGGTACAGATATTTTTATTGAAGTACACTGTCCATGAAAAAAATATATGTAAGTCTTATATTATTTCATTACCCTGAAGTAGTTTTCGTGGTTAAATATAACTGTTAGAAAAACCAGAGTTGGTTTATAATCTTGATGTTAGTAGGTTCTCGCATGGAGTTTTGACTTGAATTGCATTGTGAAATATAAGCCAGCTATTACTTTTGCAGAAATGCACTAACCCTATTAAGAAAAAAGGGCTTGATCTAATGTAAACTCTACTGTAATATAGAAAAATTTTTATAGTTTACTGAACCAGATTTAACAATCAGAAAAGCTCCCAAGCACGACATACACGCCTGTTCGGAGTTGGTTTCCGTAAGCTTAACACAGTAAAACAACTATGAAGTTTGAAGAACAACTATTGCATGAACCCATAGAAAAGAATGACACGTACCTTTTGAACAAGTTTGTGGTCTAAACTCTATCAAAGATAAGGGTGAAAATATTTGTTAACAAAAGCTGGACTGCTTCGTACAAAAAAGCAGCTTTTGTTTTCTTCAGATCTGCGTAGTTTGTTTGTTTGCGCGGGCGGAGAGAGTTTGCAGCCGCGACAATTTCGCGCCAAAAACAGGGTGTCTTGCTTGGGTTCAGTCTTCCATCGTCCAATTGTTGAGTCATTGTTTTGCGTCGCTGTCATTACATGGTATATTGATCGATCAAGGCGAAAATGATCCACTCAAGATAAGACAAAAAAAATCACTTCGAAAAAGTACATATTCTAGAACATTTTCAAAAATAATTATAAAACAGCAATTACAATGATTACCCGCCCGTGTTCGGTATTGTCGTATAAATATCTTTAAAACAGTATTCAAATACAGCTTTTTAATTTCCTTTCTCAATATCAGTTTCGACATAAGTGTTTGTAGACGTAATTCATTGCATATTTGCTCTCACCTTTCAGCACCATTCAAGAGTGTTGTAAAAGTGTAGCGGTCGTATTTGACTTCATTTTTGACTAGTATCAAAGGTGTGGTCACAGCTGACTACACTTTTGACTTCATCTTTGACGTGCGTCAAAGGTAAAGTCAAAGTTACCAGCATATTTGACAACAACTTTGATAAGGGTTAAAGGAATAGCAAAGCATTGATTCATTTGACTTCATCTTTGACGCGTGTCAAAGGAGAAGTCAAAGTTGTTACCAATTTGACTTCACCTTTACCGAGGTCAAAGGAGTAAGCAAAGAGCTTATATATTTGGCGACATCTTTGACGCGCGTCAAAGGTGAAGTCAAAGCCAATACCATATTTGACTTAACTTTTGACTCGTGTCAAAAGTGCAGTAAATCCAATTTTTCGTCCCGTGAGCCGCCCCCTCCCCTCAGAAAAAATAGTCCCCTGGCAGCCCAGTTAAAAATCGCCTTTCGGCGATTCTTGTTTTATATAATTTGCTGCCATACGGTTAAATATTGTGGATTATTTTGTACTGGAACATACATAATTTAGCGTCCTTGGTTAAGCGAAATGGCAAAGTGTAAATTGCTTTAAGCTTGTTAGAATCAAGACCTAGTCTGCATAGCCTAGAGCTAGCCAAAGGTTCCTGGAATTTCCTTTCTATTAACCGTTTGCGAATACTTTTGCAGCTGTTTTCAGCTGTTCGTTTCAACTTCTGCTCACTGCAATTAGAGTCCGACCTGAGAGCTGCACGTTTCCATTTGTCTGGAATGGCCGTAATAACATTCAGTTCTATTATTATTATTTATAATCATAATTTACTGTTTCAGTTCTCAGAGAAAAGCCGATGGAACAAAAATGAGGTTTTTGTGGACTTGTCTTAGAAGGAGAAGGCCGGGAGCATTTAACACGTGGTCCTTTTTGTGTGGTATACTGATTTCAAGCCTACCTTTCATGGGCTATTTCTTGTTAGGCCCTTATTCTACAAGTCCGTCTGTCCCTGCTAACTTGTTTACCAGAAAACAAAGCCGACTGGATTTAGTGGCATCAGTATCGTCTGTCCCTGCTGAATTGTTTACCAGAAAACAAAGCCGACTGGATTTAGTGGCAGCATCAGTATCAAAAGATTTAACCTCGTTACCAGCATGCCCGTACAATCCAAGCTTCCTGATCCGTGGGACGATCGCAAGGTATTCTGGCTGGTGGCGTATCAAAGAATCACTAGTTTTTCCAAGAGACGACACAGACATGTTGAGTAGAGGCAGCCCCTGGCATTGGTTCCAGCCCAGTCCCCTTGCGGACAGGGAAAAAGTCAGTGTGGTTGTGAATAAGCTGTTGACTTACTTTAAGTCAAGGTATGAAGTAGATTCTTTATTCTCATGAACGATGAGAGGGCAGCAATATGTGTTCCTGTTTTTTCTTAAGTTTCCGCTTTAAGATCCGTAAAAATCCATTGAACAAAACGCGAAACAGATCACCACAGTTATTTTTCCAACAACCACTGCACTTTTCCATGCTACTTTTATCGTTAGCTGGGACCTTTATAGAAAGCTGTTAATCATGAGCAATACGCCCGAACTTAACTTCCTGTGCAAGTTTACATTCTTTACTCATATGGGAAATAAAAATAATCCTGAACAGTCCCCTTAACAGTTCTAAGGAAGCTCGGACAGGCGTCATGTAGTATAGAAAGCGTCACTGACTGCAGCTGTCAGTCCTGTTGTCATCAACCTAAGCAACAGTCACCTTTCGATTTTAGGGACTTTAAGATCCAACGACGCGACGGCAACAAGAACGTCGCTTAAAAAGTGAATTTGCGTTAATTCAGTCTTTATCGCAGTCATTCCTACCCACTTACTTTGTCAATTTGGGCGAACGCTCCTGGAATTGAATTCCTAGGGGCCATATCCAAGTTCAAAAAGGGGAATAAAATTTCGTCGTTGCTTGTTTATGTCCCCCATAAAACACGAACGAAATTAGGCATTTTCACGTCGTGGTCTTGCAAAAATGGGCAAAGAAATGTACAAAAAAGCGTGACGCACGCGCAAAGTTGTTGTTTCGCTTATAAAAGCTATTGTTTTTTTTGACGCTCTCGTTGCCGTCTGCGTCGTTGGATCTTAAAGTCCCTTTTAAGAGGACGAGCCAGATTTTCTAGACCCTGTTCGACTTATTCTAGACACTTAGTATTGCGCGCGAGTGAGCCAGTGTCATACGAGATGGCCGTCGTCAAACTAACACCGACTAGTTTTAGCGAGTACCGAGGTAACGAAAACGAATTATTAAATGTTAGTAGATTTATCATCTACCCTAAGAAAACTCAACCCGTTCAAAAAAATAAATAAATAAATAAATAACCGTGCTGACCTTTCTGGTGAAAAAAGTACAATGACTTTTTCCGAAATGTCTTTTTTAAGAATACGCTAAAAAAATTTAAGTTAAATCTCGCCTATGTAGTTGTCGGGTTCGCCCTCGAACAAAGGTCTCTAATGATGATAGGTGCATAGCCTGCGTAGCAGACGTCGAAACGGGTAGGGCCGGGTTATAGGGGAAAAAGGGAGGGGGATTGGGGAGAGAGGGTTTTGCGCTTTCCTACTTCCTCCCTACCGGCTATCCCTCCCCTTTTTGCGCCTGCTAAGCAGGCTAATATGTGCACTTATACCAAACAACGTGGACTTTAACTCAACCGGTAGTTCCTCAATCTTTCTGGCGGATTTCGTCTTTCATTTCCTTTCTCTGTTTTCCTTTTTAGGAAGTATTACGTAAAAAAAGTTTACAAAGTGATACAAAAATCAGACCCCGGAAATGGCGATCGGTTTTTGTTGGATCTTGAACTTGGTTTAATGCATGACCCATTGAATCGATCAATTCGCTTTGCACAACACGTGTACCAGAGAAACGGAAGTGATATATTGTGCCATCCTGAAGGAATGAACTGGAACAGCAGCGCCACAGTGTATTTTATCCTCGCCGTCAAGAATCAAGGACTATGGGTACATCATTTCCTCAAACAGCTCACCATTGCGAGCTTATTAACCGGTGACACAAACTTTCACGTCGTAATCGCTGATTTTCAAAGTAAAGATATTAACATGAGCGAGGCGTTTAGCACATCGCTACTCCGAAGTAGGCATACTATCATTAATTTAATGGGAAAATTTTACAAGACTCTTGCCTTAAACAAAGCAGCCGAAGCAGTGCCTAATGCGCATGACATACTTTTCGTGTTTGACCTTCACATAGATGTGCCGGCAGACATCCTGGACAGCGTTCGAAAGGTTATTCAATTCATTATACCCACTACCTGATCTGTCTTCTCATTCGTTAAAAGTCTTCAGTTAATTTTGGAAATCAGCGCAACCTAAAGATACGGAAAACGGGCAACAAAAAACATGCAATTTGTCTTCTGTAACATTGCTACAAAACGAGTTAAAGAGCGATGTGACGCGTTTTACCAGGTTGTTAACAGGTCTGAACAAGGGTGGTAAAACGCGCATCATCGCTTTTCAATCGTTTTGCAGCAATGTTGCTAAACGAGTTGCACGCTGTTGTTGCCCGTTTTACCGAAGCTTAAAGATTTATCTGCTAGCATGTGGCGGATTGACTAATCTGTAGGTTGTTTGCGCAATGCATGATGTCAATATGTGTTCCGTGTGACCGTTAGTCTGCTACATAGCCGTTTTTAGTGTCGTCACGCAACGCTCCACCCCAAAAACACCTTACATTTTTAAAATAACGGAGCATAATATCTTCTTTAAACTGCCCTAAGCACGACCAGTATCAAATTCCACCTTGTCATTACGACGCTTTATAAAACGGATTAAAAAAATAGGAAATAGCAGGTATCGAACCCAGTCCCTTCGGCTCCGAAGGTCAAGCGTTTCTCCACGTACGAGGATGATAGAACGGACCTTACAATTTCATTCATTCATTCATTCATTCATTGATTCATTCACCGAAGATAGCAGAGAGCCTTAAGCCAGTAACCTCAGAAACACTTGTTAGATTCGGTTTTTGTGATTTGCAGAATAATCAAGGTCGAGGAAGTGATATCATCCGAGACCTTTGGCTGATAACACTTACCTCGATCTTGATTATTCCGGATATCACAGAAACCTCGTCCAATAATTGTTTCTAACTAGTTGACTTCCCTTTTCCTTTATTAGCCACAAAACTGGTGTAGTATGCGTCACAGATGTAACGTCTCAATGAAGCATCGCTGGTATCCATATTCTGGGCACCCAGCGGACTAAATGAATTACCGGAAGTGCGTTTGGAATTTCCTTTCAACCTGATTGGCAAATCGACAATTATGGCGCTACTCAAATCCTGAAAGAGAGACCCTGCCCCGTGCCCTGTCCTCGCGATCACTTTTGGGGTATATGAGTTAATTATTAACGAAAGCGTTCGCTCGTTCCCAGCATCCGCCGCTTCTCTCTTGTCTTCAGCTCTCGGGTGTTCCCCAATCCCCACTTAGCCGTGGGAAAACCTGTGGAGGAGGCAAGCTGGAGACCCAGAACAAGGATTTTGGCGCTGTTTCGCAGATGGACGCAACCGGGGTTTAATTTCGTCTTTGGCGAAGGCTAAACTGGTGCCAAGTAAAAAACTAAGATCACCATTCATACCTCAGAGAAAGGCTCCTGGAAAAAGATTAAAACAATGAAATCAAATAGTAGTAAATATTATCTCTCCTTCTCCTTAGAACACTATTGCAGGTCGTATGGTTTATTTCCCGGCAGTTGGCCGCCTAGATCAAGGAAGTAATTCTGTGGAACATCGAGGTTTCTGGCAAATGGATGGGTACGGACTAGTGGCGATGTATAAATCAGATTGGATAAGAGTAGGAGGTAAGACTAAAATAATTTAACCTTTGCCGAAACTAGGGTAAAGCATTATCACACTCCAGAATAGAAAGGAAAAGTGTAACGTCATCTTACCACGATAGCAAAATTTGTGGATCACAACAATAGGGAGTTTTTGCTACCACAGCAGCGTGACGTAACGACTTCTCCTCCCTATTAAGTTCAGTTAAGGGCGAGAAGAGGCATTCGTCACGAGAGGGAAACTGGACCCAGTTAAGACCTCTGGGACCGCTGCAAGGGAGAAGGGAAAAACCGGTCCGTACCCAGTAATAATCCCAGAAGCAATTGCGGTGTTACAGTGATATGGGCATCTCCTTCTCGTATAGAGAGGAGAATTGTGACGTCACGTTACCATGGCAGCAAAATGTTTGGATCACAGCAATAGGAAGCTTAAGCAACAGCGACGGTGACGGCAACGAGAACGACCAAAAAGTAATAAGTTTAGATAGCAAAGCAACAACTTTGCACGTGCATCACGCCTTTTTGTATATTTCTTAGCCGTCGTCGTACGAATACGACATGAAACTTCCTGATTTTACGCGCCCGCTTTATAAAGTAGGTGAATACGGCAGAATGTTTTTTTTTCTTAACTTAAATACTGTCCTCTCGGATTCAACCCGAGAAAATTTAGCCAACATTTGACAAATTTATTGAAACTGAATAAGATCTGAGAAGTCTGAAACAGTGCCAATTCACTTTTTAAGTGACGTTTATCGGTCTGTTGTCGTCCAGAAATTTTGCTACCATGGCAACGTGACGAAACGACTTCTCTTAACCTTAGCGATCTGGGTAAGGGTTAGGGTCATATTGCGTAACGAAATTCGATCAAATTTGGACAAAATGTTGGAAGCTGAAGCTTTCTCTACCTCTAGGACCTCTCTTTGTCTCGCTTTTGCGCTCAGCTGAAGAAACAATCACGAATTATGGAATATCGCTTCTAAAGAAAGACATCGCGCCTGTTTTTTGGTCTGATATTAGCCCCATCTGTTTTATTTTTGTTTCACACCTCGAACATATTTATATTTTTTGACTATTTTTTGTTTCTTTCTTGTTTTTATTGCGCATGTGTGTTCAACTAGGAATGAATACTAAAGACTACAAATACAAGTGGGGCGGAGAAGACTGGGATCTACTCGACCGCGTGTTAATGGCGTCACTTGAAGTAGAGCGAAACAAGTACCCAGGCCTCTATCATCACTACCACCCCCACAAAAAGTGGAATTAGACAGGATTACGAACCAGGATGCCCAGATAGTCATTATTAACGGGTGTTAAAGTTAGCAAGCATAAAAGCCCAGGGGCAGGACTTGGGCAGTTTTTGGGGTGGGTTTCTGCCGCACAAGAGTCCAAATTCTGACTAAATCCTGTTCTTGAACTCTCTTATTCAGGAGAACGTTCGAAATGAATACATGTTACCCCGCTCTTTCGAATACAGATACCCCGTTTTAGTAGGACCCTGCACACCCTCCTCCCCTACCTGGAGGGAGGGGGCAGGCAAAGTTAACCCCACCTCGTCCCCAGGGTTTTCCCCACCCATTTTTAAGGGAAAAGTCCTGAGGACGAGGCTGCAATTAACCTAATATATTAAACGTGGTGTCGCTGGGCGATTGGGTTATTTTGTGTGGGAAGAATTTGTTTTCCAGGCCTAATAATCTACTGTGATCAAGAGCCAAAATCAAAATTACAGCCGTATGACTGAGGAAAAAAGACAACAGAACCGGCGGCAAGTGTTTTTCTGCCTTCGATGAGCCCACTGTTAGGGTACATTTTTTCTTAGTCTGCTTTACTGCATGCGTCTCTCTTCGTAATCAAGAATATTTATTCAGTTTATTCTATTTATTTCGGTGTTGAGCATTCTAACTTTATTCAGGGATATATAATACATAAATAAGTTTGTTTTTAGATCGGTTCGGAAATCAAAAGTTCCACTATATCTCAAATATCTTTTGTTTAGAGTTCAAACGATGGTGTTTACAAACTGTCAGAACAGCTGAACACACTTTTAGATTCTACTAGCAAACCTTTGCTGGTAGGTTAAGTATTTGACGAAAGATTTTTGCACCGACCTCTTTGGTGTTGGGATCAATCAAAAAATAGAAGTTGGACGCACGGTTAAATGTAGGGAACATCATAAGTGTGGCTTCAGTCTTTCGCAATTAAAGGTTAAACTGAGGTTAAGAAACACCTCTTCAAGCTTATTGAAGAAACATAAAAACATGTTCTATAGACAGAAGTAATTACTTCCCTCAGTAGATGTATTCAGCTGTGGAATGGGAAAATGAGCAATTTCTGTAAACGAAGTTCGTTAATTTGAACCTGAAGTTAGTTCTTACTTTCGCTTCCAAACTTGAATCATAATCAGATTTCCTGATCTCATTAAAATTTTGTTGAGGCCACGCGACCAAACACCATTTTAGTTCTTTGTTCTCGATTGGGCTAAATTTTACTTACTTTTCCAATTTCAAAGTGGAATTTCTTTCGACAGAATCTTAAGAAAAATTGGTTTCTTTCAAACCATCGTTTTACTTTCCTGTATAGGAATTTGGCTATAGAGATATTTTCAGTTTTGCAAATTTTTTCCACACGCAGCTGAATTCAACTGATTTCGGTATCCTTTGTTCTATCAGTTCTAACACTTCAAACACCTATTATGCGCATAAGAATACTATTGACCTTTCTTAGAAGCTACTTAACTTAATAGCTTAGTATTAATGCAACTACTTCACTTAGAAAATCTTGGAACTTAGAAGAACTAAGAAGCTCGGTAATACACCGTCGTTCAATTCAACTTATTGTGTACCTCGGATCTCTCAAAATCTGTAAGCTCTACACCGAAAGTCACACTAGAAAAGGAAAAGAAAAAAATGGAAACAGCGAGTCGAAGGAAAGGAGGAGGAAAAAAATAGTATTGGCTGCACCCCTTTTTCTTCTGATGAGTTCTTTGAAGATAGCATTTGAACGAGAAAAAAACTGTTTGATGGGAGGGATCTATTTTGGCTGTAAAGTCGCTTATAGTACAAAAATCCAACTATTGCTGGTTTTCAGTGTCACGCCATTCAAAATAGATCAAAATAAAAATCAAAACCTTTCAATAGATAAAGTCCAGAACCTGGGAAATGGAAGGAGGTAAATATGCAAAGACCCTCGCCAAATTTCAGGTCAGAGGAATATTTCGTATACGAGATATTCGAAGAAACGTTTTACCCAAATTTTAAGAGATTTGTATGGAGACACCATGCTGGTGCTCATCCAGATGAGCTCCAACATGGCGGACGGAAACCAACAGAAACATCTGTTACGGAGTTTTGCTACAAAAGTGTGAATTTATCCTTCGAAGAACTCATAAACATTAAAGTAATACTTTTTCTAACACATGAACCGTTTGGATAGGAAAATTCCCAGAAATAAGTCATTTTTTTAACCTACATCACAGCTCTCTTGGCCGTCATGTAAATGCCGCGTCACACAAAAGCTTAGAAATTCAAGCGTACATGTACTCTATCACAAAACAAAGAATCCTTTTGAAGCGAAAATTTGTTTGAAAATTATTTTTTAGCCGCTCTAATACATCGTGAAAGTAAAATCTCGGTAGGATCGATAGTTTTGAAGTTTGAATTTTAGTGACGACATGTGAAAAGCAGCAATAGATATATATTTTTCATCCATGCAGCTATTAAAGTATCAGAAGTATGGTAAATCCAAATTGATACAACAGAGTCGTGCCTGTATTCTGAATACTGTTGCGAGACGAGTTAAAAAATGGAATACTGGTGCTTATGTGTGAGGTCCGAGTTAACTAAAATAATACTCGAAAGGAATAGAGTATTCTGATACTAAATTAAAAAACAAGTCGATTTTTTTAAAAACTTGCATAGTGCTGGAATTCCTATACTAGAAAACAGCTGAGAAACTTCGCTATATCCGGATGGGAAACAATTCTTCCAACTTCTTGTGGGATTTCCATGATATTATCATAACTTATTAACTCACGTTGGTATTGCATATGATTTACATTGCTAAAAAATCCACAGAGGTTAGCGGAGGAGAATCCCGACTACTCGTACTCCGTTGATTCACAAGCAAGTCGGGTACATTTAATTTTTTCCCTTATACGTTCATATAATTTGTGCCTGATGTATCATGATCCTTACATCCTCAGCTTCACCAATATCGGTCAATATCTCTGGTTTTTCTTTTCGGTTTCATTATTTGATTCAGGAATCAGGATTTGATTTAACGAAATTTAGTTTTAGTTTTAGTGAAAAATTCTTACCTCTACAGACTATCCTTTCACTGTTTCTTTAACACACTTCCCCGGGCCCTGCGTCCACGGTTCGATGTCAGTGATCTCAAAATGCAACTGATAGCAAGAAAAGAAAAAAGCTTGAGTTAAGAAAATACGATTGAGTTAAATTTCCAGTTTTTTCACGACAGGATAACTAAACGACAAAAGTAGTATATAAATAAAAGTTTCTCACATTTTCTTACTCTCGTGTTTCAACGTTGGCTCTTTTCCTATCTGGGAGCGCGGCCACGGCCAGGCGGTTCAACTGCACTTCATGATCAAAGTAAACTCTATATAGAGAAAAACAAGAAAATAATCAACGAAAGCATGAGAATAAACCAAACAAAAATTAAAGGGTATTTTTTTCCTCAGGCTGTTGTTCTACGGTTTTCTAGCAGCTCATCGAAAATCAGTCTTTAAAGGCTCGTCAGCTATGACAACTATGTTCAATTCCTGCTCGAATCACGAACTTTGAAAACATTTGAGTTGCGAAAAAAATTGTGGCGTTTAACTATAAAATTAGTCGATGCTAATTACCACTTTAATACCAATTACAAGTCATCAACCGATGATAATATAGCCAGGTGGGTTGGTCAAGAAACAAGAAGGATAAACTTGAGATTCCGAGCTCTCTCCTTGCAGTCATGATACATTTTCAGTTAGTTCATGATTCTTACCATTGGTTCAGATCTTTTAATAATTGTTCACATGAAGTCATCCTGGCAGCTTATTTCCTCAGTTTTCATGAAACGCAAGCAACCAGCAATCTTTCAGTGGAAAAGTAGCAACTGACAACGATGTTGTTAAAAATTTCCAAAAATAATCAGTTGACCGTATTTGCGCATGGGTGCATAAATTTGAATCATGATTATTGTATTTTCTTGCAAATATTCGTGAGAATCTATTGTCTATTGTACGGAAAAAGTACGTACACAGAAACGCGCGTAAAATTTCATCTCACTAGCATTGCACAAAAGTGGGACCAGCTAGCGTTTAGTGAAACTGTGATTGTATAAGGCCAACTAACAACCGAGTTAGGAAACGAGTCACAATTGGGAAAGTTGGTGGGAACCGAGTTGGTAAGCGAGTTAAAAAAAACTTTGGGCGATTTGGTTATTGATTTGAGACAAGTTTTTGCCTTTTTTTTCCTTTTTGTTGAAAAATCGTCTTTGTTGAGAAATCGTTTTTGTATATAGCCTAGCATCAGTTCCGATCAGCACTTCTAAACTAGGGGTTTCGCCTGGTTAGAAATAGAATTCCCTATTTGAAGTTGAACCAAGAATTTTGAAGTCAGTCAGGTTACAGCCGGGATGACCACACATTGCTCAACAACAAGTTCGTCTAATAACTTAGTGGATCGAACAACAGGGTGGCGAAGGGGTTTTCCGTTTGATGGGCGTGATGTTGTTTTGCGTTAGTCGATTATATTTTGCCGCGAGTGAATTTTATTTTGCTAGATTATTCGCTCTTGGTTTTATAGTAAACGCTGTGGCTATATGGCCGGTAACCGGTCAAGGTTTTCAAAACACTAAATGACCGGCAGTCCTATATTCTCAATAAATTTGACAAATCGAAAAAATCCATCTAATCTAAAGTATCATATGTCGATTAAGAAAAGTCAAGCGATCCTGAAACACTTTATAGATCTCAAGTTTATCGTTTGGTTTACGCTGTGCTCAGAAAACGAAACCATGTTTCGTGACACTTAGAACTTTTTTCAGCTTCCTCTTTCCTCTTTCCTCTTTCCTCTTTCCTCTTTCCTCTTTCCTCTTTCAACTTTCCTCTTTCCTCTTTCCTCTTTCCGCTTTCCTCTTTCCTCTTTCCTCTATCCCCTTTCCTGACTTATCTAGGAAAGATCGAAGTGACTCTGCTAGCAGGACTCTAGCAGGGTAGACTACCGGTCATTTAGTGTTTTGACAATCTTGACCGGCAGTTGACCTGAAAAAAGTTCTAAGTGTCACAAAACATGGTTTCGTTTTCTTAGCCCAGCGTAAACCAAACGCAAGACTTGAGATCTATAAAGCATTTCAGGATCGCTTGACTTTTCTTAATCGACACATGATAGTTTGGATAGGTTGGGATTCTCAGATAAGTCAAATTTATTGAAAATACCGGACTGCCGGTCATTTAGTGTTTTGAAAACCTTGACCGATTACCGGCCATATTTTACCGTAAGTTAATTTTATTTTGCTGCGAGTTGGTTGTATTTTGCCGTGAGTTATAAAATTTGCTTTGTCATGAATTGACAATGTTTTCTTTCATTTTGCAGCTTCATTTTTTTTTGGTTGTCAGTTGAAATTTGCTTTGCCGTGACTTTTTATTTTGCCGTTGCACTTGTAGGCTCAGCTGTCTTCGTATCATGCAAGTTGTCATCGCGTCGATTCAAGAATTTCATAAATTATCATAATTTATTCGAAGTACTCTTTCTGGTGTAGTCATCATTATTACTTGGAAACGTCGAGTCCTACAGATGCACCAAAAGTGTTTTGGAGTGTGACTTTTCAAGACGCGTGAGAAATCAGTCGTCAACTCATGAGAGTGTGATATAGGTACAGTGGTGACATCACGAGACTCACGACGAAGTCCATACATCCAATATTTAATTCTTGAAAGATAATGATAGTTTCCACTGACTTAGTTCCGCTTTTTCCGTCTTCTGCTGTTACTGCCGTTACGCTTCGGTCAGATGATCGCTTCGTTTAAAGACAATCTCAGAACTTTCTCAGAGTAAGCTTTGTCGTGCTTGGGTTCAGGTTTGTGGCCTCGCCCTAATAAGCCATTGTCGTTGACCGAGGAAATCGACAGATGCAAGGTAAACGTAGTAATAGGCTGTAGCACTATGAACATCGATCGAGTACAGTCAAAACTGTATCAAGCGCACCTGCATTAAGCGGTCACCCTCTATTAAACGTTTTCTTTCTTAACTCTCGAAGATCGTATCCCTTAATTTCTGTAACACTGTCCTGTATTAACGGGTCGCGGTCTCCTTTTCCGTGGTTCCAACGATCATTTTTTATTATCGTCACCTCTATTAAACGGTCACTTTGTCCTTGTCCCGTTTTAGGCAGGGGTAAGGCAGAAATACCATCTATTTTATGAGGCTCATCGCCCTTTCATGTTATACAACAAGACGCAGTACGTATTAATTAAAGCGAAGGAACACACGCCTGCGTGCCAGGACACTGGCGTTTCGTTCATATCTCTTTGTTGAGACATAAGTTTACTTTTTAATTATTTTTTTCGTTTTTAAAATTTAGCTAACTTAAAAGTTAGCTACATTTGTATTACAGTTTTTGATTTTTGTATATAAATTAGCTTACTCAATATGTTTGTTACATAACAATCTGTCGAATATTTGTTTACTGACACTAAAAGAAATGAGACAAATAAGACTAGTTCATATCCTTTGCATTATAGACCAAATTGGACTCCATTCTGTTCTAATATCATCATTCATAACCATAATTTATTGTTTCAGTTCTAGGAGGGAAGAAAATGGAACGAAAATGAGGTTTTTGTGGACTTGTCTTAGAAGGAGACGGCCGGGAGCATTTGACACGTGGTCCTTTTTATTCGGTATAGTGATTTCAAGTCTACCTTTCATGGGCTATATCTTGTTTGGCCCTCATTGTACATGTTCGTCTGTCCCTGCTAACTTGTTTACTACAAAACAAATACTAGATTTAGTGGCATCAGTATCAAAAGAGTTATCTTCGTTACCAACATGCCCGTACAATCCAAGCTTCCTGATTCGTGGGACGATCGCAAGGTATTCTGGCTGGTCGCGTATCAACGAATCACTAGTTTTTCCAAGAGACGACACAGACATGTTGAGTAGAGGCAGCCCCTGGCATTGGTTCCAGCCCAGTCCCCTTGCGGACAGGAAAAAAGTCAGTGTGGTTGTGAATAAGCTGTTGACTACCTTTCAGTCAAGGTATGAAGTAGATTTATTCTTTATAGCAGTGACCCTTCTCATGAATCAGATGAATGATGAGAGGACAGCAATGAGTGTTCCCTTCAAAATTTGAAGGAAGCTCGGACCGGCGTCTTGCAGTATAGAAAGCACCACTGACTGCCGCTGTTAGTCCTATTGTAACCTACCTAGCTAAGCTATAGAGACCCTTACATTTCATGGAGGTGGGGGGTCCCAGGTAGATGAGGTAACCCGCCTGTCCATATGATCTCTCATTTTAATTTGATCACGCTTACATGATAGGTGGGGTGACCCGCCACATGTTACCTTACCTATCTTGGGTCCTCCACCTCCATATAAACAGGCCCTACGTCGAGGACGACTACGAGAATAAGATTTTCTCAATACTAAATAGTGGGCACGCGTGAATCAGCGTCATTTGGAGCGGGGAAACGTGCAATGGGTTTATTGAGGCCCTTTTGGGTCAAATTCCAACAAGCGACATGTAGACCTTGAAACAGGGATATAGGACAGCAGAAATGGCGTCAAACGGCAGATAATTGGTTGAAACTGCGACAGCAACAGAGAAAAGCCCAAATACAATAGTATACTAGCTGACAGCGACATGGCTTCGCGATCCTCTCCTTAATACGCGTCTTGCTTAGGGGTGTAAATTGCAGATTTTGGCCCCACTTTGGGACGGAAAGTCACTATATTTGCCCATTTAGGTATGAATCGCTTATGGTTGTGCGTAAAGAAATTTACAAAAATTGCCGCGATGTCTGTTTAAGTATGGCCTCATTTATGGGTCAGTTAAACTTTAGCCCCAGCAACATTGGTCTCCCTCAGGGGTTTAATTTTAATTTTCCCTCATGCATCTCCGTCACTTTTACATGGGCGCCCTCTCCCTCCCCCTCCAGGGTGCCAGATGACAGGTTTAGAGATCTCGTCTAAACCGTCTCTCCTCTGTTTTCCTTTTTAGGAAGTATTACGTAAAAGAAGTCTACAAAGTGATACAAAAATCAGACCCCGGAAATGGCGATCGGTTTTTGTTGGACCTTGAACTTGGTTTAATGAATGACCCATTGAATCGATCAATTCGCTTTGCACAACACGTGTACCAGAGAAAAGGAAGTGATATATTGTGCCTTCCTGAAGGAATGAACTGGAACAGCAGCGCCACAGTGTATTTTATCCTCGCTGTCAAGGATCAAGGACTATGGGTGCATCATTTCCTCAAACAGCTCACCATTGCGAGCTTATTAACCGGTGACACGAACTTTCACGTCATAATCGCTGATTTTCAAAGTAAAGATATTAACATGAGCGAGGCGTTTAGTACATCGCTGCTCCGAAGTAGGCATACTATCATTAATTTAACGGGAAATTTTTACAAGACTCTTGCCTTAAACAAAGCAGCCGAAGCAGTGCCTAATGCGCATGACATACTTTTCGTGTTCGACCTTCACATAGATGTACCCGTAGACATCATGGACAGCGTTCGAAAGGTTATGATAAATTATCGTTCTATTCATTAAACTAGACTGTTCAAAGTACCCTATTTTTTTTTTGTAAGATCGCCAGGATCTAGCGCTCACCAGTACGGGCGGTACCGGTGATTGGGGGCTCCTGTCATTGGTTAAAAGTCTACACTCAGTTAACTTTGGAAATCAGCGCAACCTAAAGATTAGTTATCTGATAGCAGATTAACTAATCTGTAGGTTGCTTGCGTAATACATGATTTCCAAAAAAAGTGTCAAACTGTGTTCCGTGCGACCGTGTGTTTGTCGTTATTTTGTTCTAAGACCTCTTCTAGTTAAAAAAAGTGTTAAAGAATTCATCTTTCTAACTACCGAAATGACGATTTGAGTCACTCTGCTGCGCCAAATCGCCTGTTTTCTTTATTATTATGCTGCTTTCTTGGCACGTTCATGCCTGATTGGCTCACCTCAGTGGCTCATTGATATGCATAAATGTCCGACCATTCGGCTTCCGATGATAAAACATTGGGCCTTTGTGATATCTGGAATAATCAAGTTCGAGGCAGGTGATATCATCTGAGACTCGCCTTCAGCTGATTAGACACTAACCTCGACCTTGATTATTCCGCAGAAACCTCATCCGATAATTATATAAATTATTCATAATTATTTGACTCCCCTTTTCCTTCATGAATCGTAAGTAAACTAGAACTATAAAAATCAGCCACAAAACTAATGCGTAGTGAAAGATCACGTTTTTTACTGCACTGAGAAACGGAGAAAGGCTTCTGATAAAAAGCAAAATTAAAACTATGGAATCAATATCTCTGATCTCTCCTTTTCCGTAGAACACCATTGCTGGTCGTATGGTTTATTGTCCAGCGGTCGGCCGCCTGGATCAAGGAAGTAATTCCGTGGAACATCGAGGTTTCTGGCAAATGGATGGGTATGGACTAGTGGCGATGTATAAATCAGATTGGATAAGAGTTGGAGGTAAGAGTAAAATGATTTAACCTTTGCCGAAACTAGGGTAAAGCATTTTCCTACACCAGAATTAAGTTCAGTTTAGGGCGAGAAGAGGCATTCGCGGCCTTAGAAACAAGAAGAAACTGGGCCGAGTTAACTTTCGCAAAGACATCTGGGACTGTTACAGCGGAGAGAAATTGGCCAATAGCTGACTGGCGTGTCCATAGTAACAATCCCAGAAACAATTGCGGGACGCTTTGGGTCCAGTCCCCTTCTCGTTCCAAGGTGGCGAATGTGCTCTAGGGGGTTGCCATCCAAAGGCAGGAGGAAGGGGACGGGGGAAACGAACTAGAGGGAGGGTTAGGTCGTACTGCGTCATAAAGGTTCTGATCAAACCTGGACGATGTTGGAGGCTGAAGATTTTTCCACCTCTAGGGCCTCTTTTTGTCTCGCTTTTGCGCTCAACTGAAAATAACAATTACGAATTATGGAATATCGATTTCATGAAAAGATAACGCGCCAGTCTACTGGACGCATCTGTCCTGTTTCCGTGTCACGCCTCATTTTTTTTTCTTGTTTTTACTTCGCATTTACGCTTAACTAGGAATGAACACTAACGACTACACCGACAAGTGGGGAGGAGAAGACTGGGATCTACTCGACCGCGTTTTAATGGCGTCGCTTGAAGTAGAGCGAATCAAGTACCCAGGTCTCTATCATCACTACCACCCCAAACAAAAACAGTGGAATTAGCCAAGATCACGACCCAGGATACAGAGACGGTTATTATCAATGAGCGATTAAGTTAGCCAGCCTGGAAGCCCAGGGGCCGGACTCTGGTAGGGTTTGGGTCGGGATACTGCCGCACAAGACTTTTGACCCCGGTTTAGGAAAAAAAAATGCATTCTCTCTCGTTCTGCTTTGAGAAACGTGGCGAATATACATACGCCGTTATAGATCAAAAGTGGACCTGCACCGATTCCAAACAAAGTTTGGGATTGGCTGGGAAAACAATGGAGATGGTGACATAACAATGCCCCTATCCCTGAAACCAATAGGTGGTGCTGGTCATAGGGACCAATGAAATAAAGAGGTTTGGAAGGGTGCTGGCCAGTAGTCAAAAGTACCAAATTTACAACCTCGTAAGCCAATCACAGCAGAGGGGGAAAGGGAGAGTGCACATTAAAGGATGCTTTTCAGATTGACATAGAATATACATTAAGCGGACCCCACATTAAGCGGCCACCCTGTATTAAGCGGACGAACAGGTCAGTATGTCTCAAAAATTTCTTCCCATATTTTGAGTCAAACGAGCCCGTACATAGTCTCCCACGGAAACGTTGAAGGTTTCGTCACGCGTTCCTAGCTAGCACCAAGAACGTCCCCTTGGGAGACTAAGCCCATATTTCGCAGACACGTCTATTAAGCGGACACCAGCGAAGGTCCTACGGGTGTCCGCCTAAAATAGGTTTCACTGTATTGTCTTCACTTTGATTGGAGAAGAGAGTGAATCGAATGGATGTCTATAATCTTGCACTTCTATGAAAATGTCTGGCACGTTTAGACCTGGCTCAAACGTCGAACTTCACATGCGCTGAACCTAATCCTGAGCAAAACTCTATTGTTCTCGCTAATTAGCAGTAGATTAGGCACATGTGAAGTTAAAAGTTTCACACGGGCCTGATAGTTTTTATTTAACATATCTGCTACTTACAAAAAATGTAAACGAATCTTTGGTCAATTTCGACTTAGGACGCAGAATGGGAGTTGAAAATATTCTGTATCGCTTTCCGGGACGCTTTGGCGACGGGGCGAAAAAGGAAGAAGAGCTCTCCTTCCTTTTTCGCTCCGCCGCCAGGGCGCCCTCTTAACCCTCTTACAATAATACTGATTACCTACAAGAGATAAACACAAAATTTGTTATCTTGCTTTAATTGTAACTTTATTAAATTTCTGCAACAATATTTTTTACAGTTCAGCTGCAGATAATTTGTGCTGTACATAGTGTAGAAAAAAAAACGATACCACTAACATAAAATAATAAAATTATACCTCGTTACGCAGCGTTACGGTAGTGTTTTCGTGACAAAGAGTTCACGATTTAACGTGAGAGCAACGCACGTGCATTAACTATTCGGTTGCTTTACAAGCTCTCCACAACTCATGATAACTCTGCAGTCCTAAACAATGGTACATCACAATAAAAAAAGAAGAAGAATGAAAAAGAAAGAAAGAAAGAAAGAAAGCAAAAACGAAACGAAAAAAAAACACCTCTTGGTGGCAAATTCTCCACTTTACAGGCCCAGAGACAGGGAGGCACAATGAAGACCCTCCTGAAACCAAGCCTACCTATTCAATCCACAGCTGAAGCTGTATGCCATCACTTCTCTGATTCCTTAGTCCTCAAGAATCTCGGGCGTATCACCAACGGCTCTAATGAGAACAAAATAATACTATATGACTATGAAGGGTGAGGTCGAGGATTTTCATTTACAAAAGTAATTGTCTCGCTAATCAAGTAGAAAGAACAAGTTTTACACCATGCCACCAACGTTCGTGTCTGGCCACTTTTTTTCTAAAACGTTCTACAAGATGGAAATAGGCTATAATCAGGGTATACGCCACTTGCACGTCAACCATAATGCACCTTATTTGCCCCCCCCAAATTTTGCATAACCTCTGTTTTTCATTTCTCCTGGGTATTGCGGTCGTCCCAAGAGAAATTGAAAACAATTCTTATGCAAAATTTTGGGGGGTAAATAAGGTGCATTATGGAAGATGTGCAAGTGGCGTATAGGTTATGCAAAGTTTGGGGGCGCAAATAAGGTGCATTATGGGAAATGTGGAAGTGGCGTATGGCTGATTACGGCTCCTGATTAAAATTCATACTTGGCTACGAGGCTTGGGCGAACAAAAAAAAAAGGCTCAGCAGTGATTAATATAGTTTTTTTGCTTTTTTCTCCTAAACCTCCTAGTCAAGTATGAATTTTAATTAATTGTTAAATTAAGAAGTTTTTCCTGGTAGTCATCTCCAATTTTGTCACGCCGGTACGAGACACGAAGAGACGTTGCATACCGTAATCTCGCGAATAGGACCTCCACCTTTTGAAGTGTGTACATTTATTAAGCACCCTATCAAATAAGCACTTCCTTAATTATCAATAACCCGTAAATTTAAACGAATTCATTTTCGAAATTCTTTGAAAACAATTGTAGTTAACGCTGATTATCTGCAGATTGGATAAACTCAATCGGTGTTAGTCAAGTAACTGATGAAATGAGATTATAAAACCATGGAACAGGTGCCCTAGAATTATACCGCTTATGAAATAAGCGATTGAAGCGACCCGCCTCTGAGGTCTGTGTGAAATAATGACATGCATATTCGGTCCTTCCACCGATAACAAAGTCAGTTAAAGGCCTCAGTACAGACTGTATGTGGTAATCCTCACCCTCCATCTGTTTTGTTTCATCTGTTGTTGTATTATCCAACGGCTCCTGAGCTGAAGACAGACCTGAATCTACAACACAAAACAATTTAAGCGACAGGAAAGAAGCCTCATTACTACGCTGCCTATGCTAGCCTGGGAGCGATTACGAGCGAGCTGAGTACCGAGGGTTTCGCGCGGGCGAGGCAGTGAGGATTTCGCACGGGAGTAGCAGTGAAGGGTTGCTTTCGAGCGGGACTAGTGGTGTAGGTTTCGCGCGAGCGGCAAAGTCGAGAGATGGGCGAAATCCGGAGCCTGCTCCTAGGCCAATATTATGCTGACTTTAATGACATTATTCAATTTTTAGCAGTTGTAAGTAAATTTCATATCATATTTTACTGAATGGGAGCGCCTTGCATAGCTACTAGTGACCCGTTCGCTCTGTCCTCTCCCGGCAGTTACTTCTCTTCGCATGGTTTTTGAATCTATTGGAGTAGAGCCTCTTAGTTCCCAATAAAGCTGAAAAGCAACATAGAGCCCTAAAAATTAATGTCACTTGTCCCTCAAGGAAATCTGAAACGGACGCCTCACCCAAATGCAATTCAACTCATGGCCTGCGGTGATTTAACAAACCTGAGATGCTTGCTGTCAGCGGCAAGAAACCGTCATCGTTCGTAAAATCCAGTTTGGATATCTTCGGGGTATTTTCTTCTTTCGTTGAGGTTTTTCGTTTACGAAGTGCGGATTTCCTCATCCTGTGCATCAATTTACACTTTGATCCCTTTGAACACTTGCCAGTTCGAGCAAATTCTTCACACTCAAGAATATGTTTTTTGTTACACTAAGAAACAAAAAGAACTATCCATTATAAAGAAGTACGCCGTGCGACAGATCGGCTGGTCTAGTGTACGAGAACATAGAGAAGACCTGGTTTACTTATAAAATTTTTCACGCCTCAAATGCGGCGCTTATCCGAGGGCAGCGTTTATTTGAAAGTTGGATGCGACAAAGATCCGTTTAAACTACGGTATTAATAATATTTTCCGTATTAAACTAACAGAATTAACGTTTTTTCACTCGATTATATTGGAGCCTTGGCCCTTATTAACTTTTTTTGTCCCAAATGCGGCGCTTATTCAAGGGCGGCGCTTATTCGGCTAAACACAGTAGGCCCTTTGCAGCTAGACTTTTACGTGGTACAAAACCTCCTTGGCGTAGAGCAAGGGAAGCATTGAGACAAGAGAAACAAACAGCTCACATCATATCAAATGGTTATGTCCTTTGTTTGTCTTCAGTGCCCCAGTAGGTCTGTTGCTCTCCAGCATAGCGATTTTGTACCACGTGACTGATTAGCTGCAAAGGGACTAACACAAACCAGACGGACACTCTGGGTTTGAAACCCTGCCACTATGAAGCAAGGCATCAAAATCTGTGGATACGCATAAAATACATGCTTAAATATAAGCATGTATTTCGTGATAGGTGCATGCCAATAAGGTGTTACTGTAGTTGTTACCGACTGAATTAGACTTCACTTCACTTAGACTTCAATGGTCAATCGCGTCGTTTACCATTACAGTCTTCCCTTTACTTACACGACATATATTGATGTTTACCTGTTGACCAAGAGCGCAAAATCCTTTCAGAAAATCTTCACAGACTTCAGCCTTCTTGCTGACATTCACATGAGAATAAGGGCAATTATCATTGGAACATGTTCCTCGAAGAAAGAACTGGCAAACAGGCATCTGAGGAAAAAGAAAAACATTAATTTGTAAAGAGTTACTTCAGCCAATACGAACTTAACCGGGGCCACCCACCGCGACCCAGCATATTTCGACCAGAACTTTGGCATTTCGTCAGCCAATCAAAAAAGGTAAATTTTTTACGGTTGCGTTTCTTGCAGTGCAAGATGCAAAACTCAAGTAACTGTCTGAAACTTCTGCCAGTCACAATAGATGCCGCAAATCCAATAATCCAATATTACAATAACGTTCAGACAAAACGCGCACTCTGATTGGTTGAAAAAGCGTTCTTTTTGAGAGTATAAAACACGGGGCTGTGGGTGTCACGTGACGTTTTGAAAATTAGAAAGTAATGCTTTGAGAATTTAGTGGATTCTTTATGATAAAACAAATAACGAAGCCTTGACTGTGCTCTGTTCTGTTGCAAAGCACTCAAGAAGCAGCTAGAAAACTCAAGAAGTAGGGAGAAACACTCGACTACGTCTCATGTTTACGTCTCATGTTTCCCCCTACACTTCTTTCGTACTCTAACCACTTTCTACGTGCTTTACAACAGAAAAGACCACAGTCAAGGCTTTTTTATTTGTTAACTATAGGTACAGTAGCATACGTGCCCCTGTCCAAGCGACTGTTGGCTTTTATTGTGTGCCCAAGCTACAGTTACAAACTCTACAACAAATCACTTGTTGTGGAAAGGGTAAGTCACCAACCTTGTCTCGATCAATCTTGTGCGAGAATGGACAAGACCCATCTAAATTTTTACAGCGCCCTCGCAGGAATCTACAAATGATCAAGAAATGTGAAGAGATAAAAAGTTCACAATTTACACAAAAATGGTATAGACACTAAAGTACACTGTTAGCTTAGCCTACATAGCTGGGGTTTTGTTGGAACTTTAAAAGAAAATTCACTCGTGGTCCTCCCAATTCTTGTCAGATCTTCCTTTTTTCTCTTCATTGGTGCCCCTAACTCCTTCACGAGAAGGTATCCGTGAGGGATAATTCTTTTGCTACACATAAATGTTACTTCACCATTTCTGCACAGGCTTGTGCCATGACGTTACAGCTGAGTTAAACCGTTTAGATACTACCTAGAGATTGTCAGAGGGTATTAATTAATGTTTCAATCCCCAAGGGACAGTGACCCTGTCAGCAAAATGTAAAGCCCAGCGTAATAGAATAGGGCAACTGAAAACATAGCCTGCATAGCAGGCGCTTGGAAGTAGTGGGTGAAAGAGGGAACGGGCACGCGCCAGGGAGACACGCGTGTCTCCTACTCGCGCGCCCGT